CTATAACCTCTCTCCCATTTCTTCTACAAGCAACCCAAATCAGACATGCACAGTTCAGATTTTTCTTTAAGCTCTCAGGCACCTCCATCTTTGGTGGGCTGGCAGCGTCCCATCAGCCAGAAGGGGCCCTGAGGACCAGACTCCAAACCCAACGGCACCAAATAAGGGTGTCTAAGACAATAAAGATGTTATTTTTTCTTGGGAAACATGCTTGTGGGTGGTTCAAAAGAGATTTAGGAAGGCATTACTCCATAGAGTAAACTCAGAAGAGAGCCACCAGGTACCTGAGTACAAAGATCAGCTTTTTTAAGACCTCTAAGCCACATTTTAATTTTAATTAGGTCCTGATGCTGTAATTGCCTCCAAAGTGTCTGAGTGCTCCTGGTATTGGTAGATAACAGCAGGAGCTGTGTGAGCAGGACATATGGGCTGTTTAATCTGATTCCTTCCTATTCAGGGAAAAGGCAATGACTTGGGTTCAGTTTGACCTTCCCTCTGCATTAGCTGCTCATTTCTAGGCTCACCTTCACCTACAAGGCTAGAGAAGCTCCTCAGCCATACCAGATGTCCAACTGGCCATGATATCTCCACTGAGTCTTGTCACCGCATTATAAAGTGTTATTCATCTGTACTGTATAGAGACCACGAGGACGTAATAAACAGCCTGAGACTACTTGCTCTCTGCCTCAGTGTCTGAGCACGTTTTCCTGTGTGAAGAGGAAAGTGGGAACTGCAAGCCTAGGGATGGAGAGCTGTCTCCTAGCAGAATTGTTGAGGAGGAAAAGGGTGGGAGAACCTTGTGTCTCGTTGGACCCTGCCCTCATCTTTCTGTGTGCTGGTTTCACCTGTGCAGACATGCTGGATGAGGTAGTGAAGGGATGTGTTAACTCTAAGCAGTCAGCATTCTCTGTTGAAGCAATTTACGTCTCCCTAGACATATGATTTGGGGAGATAAGTCCAAACTATTGTCAGTAGGATTTAGGAGACTACAAGGAAGACAAATATGAACAGACTTCAGGCCTGTGAGTCAGCAGTAAAGCCCACAGTGAGGGCTGGCAGTGGGATGGGGGCAAACAAATAATGAATGGGAAAGGCAAGGGCCAGCTCAGCAAGCAGTGAGAGCGCAGATGGGGACCAGGGCATACATGAGCTGCAGAAGTCAGAGCAACTCAGTCAGTCCCAAGGGCCAATTTAGGGAGTCTGGAGGAGCCTGGGCTTTCTGGGGAAGGGGTAGGCAGCAGCTGAGAGCAATCTTGGGTGCTAGAGGAGGAAGGGGAGGTGTTAGCAGGGGCAGAGATTGGAGTGAGGACAGCTGGGGAGGTTGTTTGTGTATTAGAAAATTGTGTAGAGGGAGAGTTGCTGTAGAGTGCGGCTGCAAAAACTCTATGGAGGCTGCTGCCCAGCTGGAGAGAGGGCTTCAGTGGGGGAGGGTTGAGGCCACACAGAGCATCTTCTGAGCAGGTCTGGTAAGTGAGGGCAAGCAGTAATGTGGATCTTTCCTGGCCCTGGGTACAACAACAGCACTCCTCATCTGGTGCACAGCCCACTGTCCCTGCCAAAAGGTGAGTGTTTGCTGCATGATCTGCACAGGGTTGCATTTAATAGCAAAAATTCAAATTTGCTTGTTTTTCTCTGGAAATTGGTGCAGTGGAATTTATCAGTACCTTTGTCTTCTTTCTACCCCCCTTCTTTTTGCCCTAATTCCCTTCCTTTCTTTTATTGCTTTTCCTTTTCATCTGCTGCTTCTTCCCTCTAAGCCTGTCCCTGAGCCAAAGCAATTTGCATGCATCCAGGGAAGGATCTGCCATTAGTGCTGCTCTGTCTCTCCTCTTAGTTAGGATATATTTAGCTATTGCCTTTGTTGTTTGCTTTTGGGTTTTTTTTGGGTAGTTTTTTTTGTTGTTTTTTGCTGTTCAGTTGCTTTAAAGAGCAGGTGCTGGGAACAGAAAAAGAAGATTAAAAATACCTGCTGTCAGATACCTCTCCCTACGCAGATGTGCTCTGGTGCTGTGCAAAGTGAGCATGTGAGCAGAGTGGATAACAGCTGCCCCTTGAAAAGCTCATTTGTAATTCTAATTTTTTTTTTATTTCAGTAATCTCTTTCCGCACTGCTACAGATTTCCAGAGCAGTTATTTCCTGTCATGCTTCATGTGAACACAGCGTGCGCTTTTGTTGGGAATCAATTAAAAGCCCCATGGGGTAGGGTGAGGGCTTGTTGTTGCACAGGAGCTGCCGAGCAACAAGCGCTGCTGCCTGTCCTGCAATGCACAGGGGGTTATCCAGGGTGGGGAGACACAGATGGAGCAACGCTCACCTGCAACCACATGGACATGGCATCCCACAGCAGCCCCTGACTGTCCCTGTCTCACAAGCTGTGTCTGTAGCCAAGACCCAGCTGCAGTGTGGCTCCCTGGGGAACCCCTGCAAGCACTCTGCTGCTGTCATAGTCTCAGCAGTTTCCCCACTACTCTCGGGCACCTTTGCCAGCTTCCAAGCAATGCTGCAGTCCTGCCTGCACAGCAACAACCTCTCATCACGAGTAATCCCTTGCCAACACCCCTTTCCCCATCTCTTTTGCCTACACCTCTCCTTACACAACCAGAGCTTAACAACAGACTGCTGCATGAGCAGAGCCTTTAGATCTCTCTTTTCTACTCCTTCACATTCAGCATCTCCCTGATTTCCTGCAGACAGCCCCAGGGGACTTGTCAGCTCCTGGCATTCTCCACTGAAGCAATATAGGGAACATACGATGCTGTCTTCAGGTTTTACCCATGAGGTTTCCCATCAGTTTAGGATAAATCAGGTGTCAGGCTCCACAGTGAGCTTGCCTGGCCCACATCTATGATGCAGCAAGATGACAGCATCATCGTTTGGCCTAGCTCCCCACCCCCTTCTCTTCCCATCCATTGCTGTATCTTCCCCTTCTTATTCCACTCAAACCATGTAAAAATACAAACATACCTGGTACTAGAAACTCCTCTCAATGCTTGGCTGTGCACTGGGGCACATCTGCAAGGGCGCTTTTCACTCTGTCACCAGTCACTCCTTTTTTCCCTGCTACCTGCCTCATTTGTTTAGTTTTTGGGGCTGAAAATTTTATTTTCCTATTTTTCAAGGTTGCCCACTCACCCAGAAACAACAGCAGCAATACCTGATGCTGAGAGGTTTTGTGTTTTGCTTCTGATGGGGAAGCCATAGCTGTACCTTGGCAAACACTGGCATACCTGCCCAGTTTCCCTGGTGGAAATGAAGCTCTGAGAGGACTGGTCCCCATGGATGGGAGGTGGGCTTCATGCTGGCACAGCTGCAGCATGAAGGAGCCGTGCCTCAGGCGCTGTGACACTGATGAGGTTTCATGTTCCAAAACAAGGACTGATAATACAGGCAACGGAGCTGGGGCTGCAGGAGGCTGCTAAGCTAAATAAGACAGGAAGCACATAATTAAATTAGATACAGAGTGGCATAAAGACATCTGAGTACACATACATTCTTGGGCTCGGAGGCTATTGCATAACCCTACTGAAGAGCTCTATGCTACAAAACGTTGTACCTACTGCATCTCGTGCTGGCAAGATGCTTATCTTCCACCCTATCAAAGAGGAAAGTTAAACAACCTGCCCCAAGAGAGCAGAGCTGCCAGGCAGTGGGTTGTGCAGGGAGCTGGTGCCTGTAGGAGAGCTGTCACAGGGTCTGTCCTAGCCTTGGCATAGAGAATATTGCTGAACAGGCTGTTCATCACAGTATCACAGTATGCTAGAGATTGGAAGGGACCTCAAAAGATCATCTAGTCCAATCCCCCTGCCGGAGCAGGAACACCTAGATAATGTTACACAGGAATGTGTCCAGGCGGGTTTTGAATGTCTCCAGGGAAGGAGACTCCACAACCTCCCTGGGCAGCCTGTTCCAGTGTTCTGTCACCCTCACTGAGAAGAAGTTTCTTCTCAAGTTTAAGTGGAACCTCTTGTGTTCCAGTTTGCACCCATTACCCCTTGTCCTATCATTGTTTGCCACTGAGTAGAGCCTGGCTCCATCCTCGTGACACTCCCCCTTTATATATTTATAGACACTAATAAGGTCACCAAATCATGATCTCATTCCTGCACCTAGGCTCAGACCCGTACGCATGGTACTGGCACTGAGAGTCAGACCAATGTCCCAGAGCCACACACCAGTCCAAACACCTAAGTGTGGGACTCCCTCTTTTCCTACGAGTTTGTGTATCTCTGGCTGAGTAAATGCAGTGCCTTTGACACAGAGAAGATACAGCCTTTGACTCTTTCCCTCTCACTGAGGTTTTACAGGGATGTCTATAAAATGGGAGGTTGCAGGGACCAAGCTTGCACCACAGACTTTTCCTCACTTCTGCCTTACCAGCAGTATTGCTTCACCTGAGCCATGTGCTTCAAAAGCTGTTGCAGATGGGACAAGGTAAAATCATATATGCGCTTGCCCAACACACTTTATTTATATGGGATAAAGCAGTGGGGAGACAGGATCTGAAATGGAGGCTTCAGCAGACTTTAATGCCGAGGCAGAGGTGTGCAGAGTTTCTCCACTCTGGCTCACATCACCCATGCTCTTCTTTCATTGGCTACAGCTGTTGCTGCCATCCCAGCTGCTAGAAGTTGTCTGTCCTGTGTATCTGTAACATGTGCCCAGCCTCCTGAAGGTTTTCGTCTCAGCAGAACTTTCTTGGGGGATGCCTCAGACATTGGGGAGAATCACCACAGCATCCTGTGACTTTGCTGTCTACACATGGGAGAATGGGCTTCAGTGTGTGAGCACGATTTTAAAGGCAAAAAGGACACACATGGAGTCCTGCTTAACTCCAGGCATGCCCCAAAATGATGAGACAAAACAACTAGGGCATCACTGAGCACTGCTTCTGTGCAGAATGGGTGGGCGGTGGAGATTCAAGTGGTGGAGGAGAAGGAATGTTACCACCCCAGGTAGCCGAACGCTACAGCTGGGAGGTGAGTGCAAAGGGTACGTGTGTATGGGCAGTGCCAAAATAGCTGAGTGTGAACCTTTCCTGTGGATACCAGGAGTCTGTGCCCATGTCAGCATGGCACTGCCGCTGTGACACCAGTGTTCGCAGCATGGCCGTGAGCTGGGATACACCACCAGTCTTACGCGGCCAAGCACTTCCAAAACCCATGTTAGACCAAGTGATGTCCATTCTGCAAGCCTGATGTTGGCATGGGGGACTTCTTGGCTGTCATGGAGCTCTCTGCCTGTTGCACCACACCTTGCTGTTCGTTGGTGTGCAGTGTCTCACACTGGCTTAACTCTTTCTCTTCATCCTTCTGTTTTGCCATTTCAGTCTTTCCCTTCCAATTTTTATCTCTCCCTTGCTTTTAGCCTCTTTTTTCCATCCTTAGTTCTCATTAGGATCCACCTTTATCAGATGCTTTCCCATGCTTGACTCAAACTGTCTTTAATGTGCATCCTCTCCCCTTGTTTCTTCCCACCACAGAGCAAGCAGACAGTTTGTGATGAAGTGCAACTTCTGCCAGTACATGGGATCAGACATCAGTCCTTATGTATTCTAGCTGTGGACCAGCAGTGTAATCTGGGGGGACGGGGAAACACTGCACCCTTGTGCTCTATCTGCAGTGCAATGGCAGGTGTACTGCATTACTCTGGGGAGTGCAAACCCTTCCACCAGGCTTTGCACATGCCCTCGGGATGCTGTAAAGCAGCCTGACTCTGATGGGGACCAGCATCCCCTGCTTACACCAGCTGGGGAAAAGCATGCTGCTGCAATGCCACCACACCAGCCCTTGCAGCGCTGGGAGGATCGGACGTCCTCGTGCCACAGAACAGAGCTGACGAACTGGCGTGAATTACAGCGTCTGTCCTGTCCCTCTCTCTCTCCCCATCTGCGTACTCACCCGCTGGCAGTTACTCAGCAGGCTCCACACGTCGGTGGAAACGAGCCTGTTTTTTCCTGTTATTGAGGAAGCAGTTATGACTGTGATGCTCAAGGACAAGCCTGGGCCTCCCACTCCCCCTCCCTTAACAGCACAAAAGAACCCTACCTAAGCCGTTATCTTCACTGGGCTCTGCTATAGCAGGTTTTGGTTGGCTGGAGGCTGGAGCGATGCTGGGCCCCCCTCCCAGCTCTCCCACCTCCAACCTGATATAAAGCACGGCTCATTGCCGCTTTTCCAGCCGACAGCACATGACTGTGGGTGCAGGTGGTGCCACAGCTGCCTGTTGCACACCACTGCCACCGCCGTAAGGACCCGATGAGTTGCTGGATGCCTGGGTGCCCAGCTTTCAGCATGTGCCAGGGGTTAGCTGCGCTCCCCATCGCTTGCCTGGAAAGGTAAGGGCCTTCGCCACACTGCAATTCTGGGATGCAGAGGGTTACCTGGAAAAGATGCATCTAACTTAGAAGTGGCTGGACCAGCATCTGCTGCTGTGGCCATGACGTTTTGGCAGAAACTGGGGTGCAGGCTGCAAGGAAACACACAGTGAAGGATGGCCTGATAGATTTGGTTTGGCTGTATCTGTTCTGCTTCCCAGGAGGGGAATATAGAGGTAAAACACGAAGAGGGAGAGGAGGCTGGATGGGGCTGCCCTGTTTGTGTCCAGGCGCACATGAGGGTTGTTTCTCTGGCTCGATTTCTGCAGAACTTGCTTCAAGTTGACAGCAGCAGGACTATTTTCGTCAACACAGTTGAAACATTAAGTGACATGTTGCTCCTCCTGCCAAACATGGCTACAAAGCCCCATGCTGCCGGCTTGACATTTAAACACTTATTTTTGTACGAACGCCTTGGGATGCCTGAATGAGCTGCAGCACACAAATAGCAGCGGGGCCATGCGCTGCCTGGGGAGGGACCCAAGGGAGAGGAGTCGATTTAGCAGCAGCTCCTACTGTATTGCTGTAAAGACCTCCCGGTAGGGAGGTGCTTCTGTGTCACCACCACAGAGCTGCGGTAGCAGGCAGTAGCATCCCAGGCTCTTACAAAGGAGCTCTGGCACAGGAGCATCGTGCTGCTACTGGGCTCGCTGGGTCTCAAAGGCATGGGGTAGGTGGATGGTGACACTGGGGAGCACAGACATCCCCATGGCATGGTAGCAAGCTCCTGGTGATGCAGCCCCCCCCCAAAAAAAAATAAAGCAGGGGATCATCAACCCTGCTGCAGCAGCCTTACAGCAGGGAGATACTCCTATTCTGCTGAGCAGAAAGCAATCACTGTGTTTTCTCAGTGTTTTGAGAGCAGCATAGCACTGCTCAGAGAGGGGGGTGGGAAAAGGGGCCAGGTTAGCTCCAGGAGGATGGGGGGCTCCAGCTGGTTACTCAGCAGCTGCTCCTGTCCCAGAGGAAAAAGCTCAATGTGCTTTATAAATGCATGCGACACTACCTGAGAAGAGAGCAGGAGGAAACAGTCCCCTGGGCTTTATGCACTGCTGAGTGTGGTTGCCAGGGAGCAGAAAAGCAATGGGAGAAGCTTTTATTTCATACATCACAAGGCAAAAAAGCAGCTGAAAGTAAGGAGTGAGGGCTGCCCCTCTGAGCTGTGTTGGGTTTGTGGGGTTCAGCCCCTGCAAAGCGGGGGTTGGGCAGCAGTGTCGGGTAGTCCAAGAATCCTACTTCTCCTCTTCCTTCCAGAGCCAAGGACCTGAAGACCCGCTTAGGGATCCTGCTTCATAAACCAGACCTGGGACACAGGACTGACGCCTCCAGCAAGCTACAGCTGGGCTCCAGGCAGAGGTAAGCCAAGCGGTGCTGTGTCCTAGGTTCAGCCTGCGACAGGTCCCTGCGGACCAGGCTGTCCTGAGGGATGCTCCAGCCCATCTGCGCAACGGAGAGAAGAAAGCACAGCTCGCCCTCCCCACAGTCCCACCCTGGCAGGCAGGGAAGGCGGATCGTTTCCGAGCTTCACCGGTTATAAAATCAGACAGGGGAACTGATGCTCCCGCATTAGGCACAGGAGAGCAGGGCCTCAGCAATAGGCAAGAAACCTAGAGGGCTCCCACATTTTCTGGCATCTCATACTAGTGCCTGGGACCCCAGAGGAATGAAGGCAGCATTAAAAACAAAATACTAAATATTGCTGTTGAAGGCGGGGTATCATCTTGCAGAGGAGGCTCTGCTGGGTTTGTGCCAGCAGAAAAGAGCTCTTCTGCATATCCTTTAGAGAAGATACTTGGCCAAAGCTGCACTATGGAGCTGAGGTCTGGTGAGCCATCAGGGAAGTTAAAAGAAAGGGAGAAAGGAAAGCGAGCCCACAGGTAATGGATGCTGGATTCTCACTTTGGTTTCCTACTGAGTGCTGCTGCCTCCCTTCTTGCACTGTCTCCTATTGACTGGGCTGCTTGACTGAACTGCTTTCATCCTTCACCATGGGGCAGAAGATGTGTTGTTGGTGGCACAGTGAGCCTTACATCATTTTGTCTTTTTCAGAAATTCTTCACAAGAAGTACTTGAATGGAGGGAGTCCTTCGACCAGCTCCTGAAGAGTAAAAGTAAGTAGGACCTTGTGTTCTTCTCTTGGTGAGAGCGAATAGGACAAATATGTTCCTAGTGAGCCATGGGGTGGCTGTACGCCTGGAGCCAGTGTGTGAGGAAATCTTGTCTCTTCCTCAGACAAGATAGTTTAGGATTTAGAAAGAAGCCCCTTTCTTGCCCTGACAGAGCTGATGTATAGGGGTCAGTGCCTGGCTTGTGAAGCTGGACTCTTTTTCTTCTGACTGGGTGCTTTTGGGAGGGCACAAGTGCTGTCTTGCAACCCCTCGCTGCTGCCTCGGGACAAGAGCATCATTGTGGGCATCCCATGTACAGCAGTCCTTCAGGGGAAATGTTGTACCATGCCCTGATAGTTCCTTTCTCCACACTTAGGAGAAGGAAATGTCTCTGCTTTCCGGAGTTCTCTTTTGCACAGCAATGCAGCCACCTCCCCACAGGCTTTTGTTCCTCAGAAAACTACACTGCTGCCCTCTGTCTGTCTGTCTGTCCATCCTATGCCTCTGGGGATGGCTTTTCCAAAGGGAGAAGGAATTCAGCTGCTTTACTGAGTTACACGTAGCCATTTTCCCCTCCAATATTTCCTATAAGCATGGTGATACACAGGGTTCCTGTAAGGTGCTGTCTCCCTCTCCCCCATGCAGACAGTATCTCCAGACCCAGAGAGGGGACTTCTTTTTGAGTCCCACATGTAATCCTTTCCTTACACTGGGCTGTACAGCAGCTACACAATGGTAGAAGTGCCAACTTTTAATACAAAAGAAGTTACCTAGCTTAAAAGCTATTCCACAGCAAGAGAAAAACCTTCCACGGTGCTAGTTTGGGGTTTCACAGGGTTTTTTCCCCAGTTTTCCTCGTGTGCTGTGATGGCTTACAAGCACCTCCAGCTTTGTAACTTAACACTTCCCCCCCAGCCTGGCTCTGAAATCCTTGCTGCAATTACTCTGCCGTACTCCTCAGCATCTTGTTCCCCCTAGATTTCAGCTGAGAAATAAAAATAAAGCCATTGCTGCTCAGTTCGTGCAGGCATGCTGATACGTCAGTGGATTTCTCCATAGGTAGAATTAGCTCTTTTCGGAAGCTGTAAAGAAAACACTCTGAAGCCTCATTACAGAAAGGTCAGATAAATAAAACCAGAGGATTACTTGTGTGTGGGAAAGTATTTTATTGGAGTCTAGAGGCCAATTAGCAGCATTTCGGAGGGTGGAATTTGCCTGGAGGGAAAGGAAGAAATCTGTCGATGTCAAGGTCTGAGCTCCCAGGGGGATGCTCACAGGCAGTGTGGAGTCTGGCTGTCCTCTTCCTACCCCCTGCTGCCCCATTAACTGCTCTTCTGTCCCTCCACAGGTGGAGTGACTGCCTTCCACACCTTCCTGAAGACGGAGTTCAGTGAGGAGAACCTTGACTTCTGGCTGGCATGCGAGGACTTCAAAAAGACCCGATCGAAAACCAAGCTGGCTTCCAAGGCCAACAGGATCTTTGAGGAGTTTGTCCAAAATGAGGCACCCAGGGAGGTGAGAGCATTTCCTGCCTTTGCTCTGTGGCATCAAATAGAGTGGGAAAGGAATGAAATATCCTGGTGGGTTTTATTAAAGTGCTCTCTTTTCAGTGGGAATCTGCTTACATTCATGAGAGCTTTCATTTTTAATATCATGTAGTCTACCAATGTGAAGGGATATAAAAGCTTGTGAGCACCTTCACCCTCATCTGAGGATGGAGAAAACAATTTTTGTCCCCCCATGGGAGGGAAGTTAACACTGAGTTAATATTCGTGGACACTGCTTCTTTGCAGGTCAATATTGACCATGAAACCAGAGAGATCACCCGCAAGAACCTCTCAGGTGCCACCTCCGCTTGCTTTAACGAAGCCCAGGCTAAGACCCGCACTTTGATGGAGAAGGACTCCTACCCCCGATTCCTGAAGTCCGCCTCTTACCAGGACATGACCAAGCAGGCCACCAGCCGTGGCATCAGCAAGCGGTCACATACCTGACCCATGCCCAAATTTGCCATGGGGGGACAAGCTGGGGCACCAGGCAGAGACTGAGAGACAGTTTGTGAGGGCTGAGGTCTGTGCAGCAGGGTTTCGGTTGAAGTCCTGTCAATTTAGCAGGAACCCCAAGACCTCAAGCGCTCCCTGCTTCCCACTGTGCTGCTGAGAAAATTGCTCCTCCCTCCCTGGAGCAGCAGAGTGTGTGGGAACCCGATGTCTCTGCTTGCAGCATGGCTGGAGACCGGCATCACCACAGGGACAGAAAGAAATCAGATTTGAGTTGCAAGCCCAGGAAACGGAGATGGGATTCCCCGTAGCATCTGTAACCAGCGAGCTCCCACCTTTTCTCAGCACCCTGACTCTGATCTGCAGCACCAGCTGCTGGCTGCAGGGCCAGCACAGGAGCCTGCAGTTCTTGCAGTGCCTGGGACAACCACCCCAGACCTGCTCACAGGGCCCACCCTGTGAGGGAATGGACAGAATAAAAATCCAAAGACTACATGGCATTTTCAGCTGGAGGGAGCCCTTCTCCTGATCCTGGGATCCTTCTGCCATTTCCTATGCATGCTCTGCATCAAAGCTTTACACCTTCTTCCATACAGCATATCCCTAGCGGTGATGTTTTAATCCTTTGCTTAAGCTATGTGACCTTTAGATCGCACAAATCTTAGGTCACATGCAGAAGTTTTTACTACTATTATTGTTATTTATTTTATCATTATTATTATATATATATTTATTAGAAGAGCACTGCTGAAAGCATACACATGTCCCTTGCTCTGAGGAGTTTCTAAATGAAATTATATTCAATATTGTAGTACTTAGCATGTCTCTCATTACTTCTGTATAATAACTTAAGATTGATGACCAGACAGATATGTAACATGACTGTGGAACCAGGGACATGAACAGCAGAGTTGCAGTCCAGCAAGGCTGCTAGAGGAGTCTAAGGTGGCAGGTATCCTGTGAGCTTGAAGGACAACTGATGGCAGTAAAAGGATGCTTTGCAGTCAGTGTCGTTTCCTTTCTCCTCTAAACTTGTCCTAGACAGAGTAGCGATGGGCACTTTGGTGAGTGATCCTACTGAAAACTTTGTGGTTTTTTTTACACATTTTCCCCCTGGTTTAAAATTCAGCTTGGTGTTCCCTTGGCCACTGAAACTATTCTGCAGCCACAGCACTTTACCAGAAACCCACGGAGCCAAGTGAAACAGCAATGCATGCTGTGAATTTAGTGTCTCAGGATGCTGCAAGATATTTTAGCAGCTCAGAGTTGTGGGGTGAGGTTTTCAGAAAGCACTTCTAAGCAGGGATTTCTGGGTTCTGCAGCTGCTCTGGAAAGCTGTTGATCCCATTTGCCAGCAACGGTGCCAGCAGGCACTTGGGTGGGTGATGGGGAGCTCACAGTATCCCATGCTGGGTCATGAGGAACATGCTACCAGCATAGTTTCATACTGAGACAGCCTGGGGCTGCACATGTGCCTCAATTTATCTTTAAAGATCAAACCTGGTGGTCCTTATCTTGCTGGTGCTCACTACTTGCCAAGGGAACCGTCTTTCACCCACCCCTTCAAACTTCCACTGGAGCACAGGATAACTCGGGCTTTTCGCAGCTGTTTGAGCAGAGCAAGGGATGGAGGACCAGTTTGGGATGTTATTCTGAGTCCTTTTCCACTTTCCCCATTCTGGTTCTACCTCTGAGCTTCAGTGGGTCCTGACTGGGTTTACAGGGAGATTTTAGCTGCTTTCTTATTTATTATTTATTTTTACAACTGGAACCAGCTTCGTTGTGTTACTGAAATGAAAGATGCACCATGGTCCATTTTCATTACTGACATAATATTGTCATTATAAAATAAAATGTAAAAAGGAAAATACTGTGAGAACATGCTTTTTTTTTTTTTTGGTAGTGGGTTTTCAATTAATTTTTACATTCTAATTTTGGATGACTTGCAAGAATGCTAAGAAAAGCTGATTGTGTTGGATGGGTCAAGGTGCATTCACAGTTGCTTTAAAAGTTGCAGTGTCAGGAACAGAAAAGAAAGGGGAAGACTTGTGAAGAGTAAAGCTTCAAGGTATTTGGCTTACTTAAGAGAACTGAACAGCTCACAGCAAGAATGGAAGCAGAGATTAAGTTTTCAGTATATTAATTGCTAGGGTGTTCAGTACTGTTTGTTTTGCTCACCATTTTCTGAGCACTTTACAAGACTGCAGATCCTAGTATCTATTTAGTATCAGTAATACACCATTGTCTCAAAAGCATGGGAGGATTCAAATGAGGGCTGCTATCTGCAAAAACTGCTTTTGGGTCAATGTCATAAATAATATTTGATTTTTATCAATAACTCAGCTGATGACTGAATTCATTTACAAGGGACAAAGGATCTGATATTAAAGTGGTTATTAGAAGACATCCTACCTCTATTACAGTGCTGCTTCTGAGGTCTGAGCAGTCCCGTGTCCCTATGGGATGCTTTAGGGAGGGGAGAGGGGTGTGTGGTGTGCAGAACTCCAGGGACTGCGGGGTCACTGCAGGGCTTCCTGTGGCAAGAGCATTGCAGGGAGGTGAGTATTCAAGTGTGGCTCAGAGATGCTAATGCTCTGAATAAAAGCAGAACACATTTTTAAGTTAAGTTATCTTCTTATTGTGTGTTTTGAAAGCCAGCATTAACTAGCTTGTGTCAGTGGAGGAGGAGAGTGGGAAGAGCTGGCATCACAGGTGTCTGTAATTCAGGAGCACTTAGGTCCCAAGGTATGACTGCTAGCACAAGCCAGCCTCTGCCATTAAAAAGCCATTTTACAAGCAACTGCATCTATAACAAAGCCTTACATTCCTTCTAATGCAGCCATGCAGAGTCCAAGGTTCATCATTCATTGTAAGATACAGTGTCTCATCTCCATCCCTATTCCCCGTAGTCATCATCCACCCAACTGGAGGAAGGCAGTTTAAACTTTCCCTTATCTTTTATTCAATATTCATTAGACATGGCCCTGTCTTACAAGACAGGTGATTTGTAATCGCAGTAGTCTGTGTGTATACCTTAGTGCCTGTCAGAGGAAAGAAACAAGCTGAAAGGTGTCCAGGAAGCATTTAAATTATCTGGCAAGAAACACTTAAGAGTAGTAAAACAGTCTAGAAGCATCTAGAAAGAAAAAATAGTGGTTTTTTTTTTTCTAAATGCAGCTTCTAACTGAAAAAAATAATATTTTGTCTTGCATACCTTGAAGCTCTTTTAAAGTCAGTTCTCAACTGAAAAAATATTTAAGTTGACCAACAAAAAATAAAGTAAGAAAAAAATCGGAATTAAAATATTTTGAGCTTTCTTTAGATGGAAATCTGGGGTTATGTCCATTCTTGATGCTCCATGCATAGAGATGGATGGCCCAGGCCAAGTCTCAACCTAGGTGGTAGCACTCAGACTTCACAAGTGATACTGGAGTATCCCATTTCTAGCACAGTTTCATGTCTGCAAGTCTGAAATGCTTCCCAAAGAGAAAACTCAGCCAATAAAACCATGCTTGCACCTGGCATATCCTCCGTGATTGCTGGCAAAACCCGGTGGTAATACAGCAAAACCTTTAAAGCTTTGGGGGCATAAAAAACCCCAACTCACAAAATCTCATTGAAAAAGAGGAGCTGAAGCTTCCCATGACTTCCTTTGGGCACGGCTGGCTGCGGTTGCTTCCAATAAACCACGGCTGAAGTTTCCCAGGGTGGAGGCTGCAAATTTGGAAGCAGCAGAGATCTGAGCTCCAGAGAGCAAATGTGGGGGCTGGGGCTGCCTCCCCCAGGCATGACACATACTTGCTCCAGGGCCAGGTTTCCATGAGCTAGGATGGGGGGGTGGATTTATTTGGTGGAAAAAAACACAGGTTTCCCTCTGCCCTGGGCCCCAGTGTGTTCCCAGTAGCAGCTTGCTGAGGTGACACTGTCCCTCAGGCATCCTGTCTCCTCCTATGGCCAGGGTCACCACTCCGGCAGGACTGAGCAGCCTTTGGTGTGGCCTTAGGGCATATGCATAAGTGCAAGAGTGGCCCCATGAAGAGAAGTATTTGGGCAGGTGTATGGATGCTGAACTTTCGGTGCGTGCGCATGCACAGCAATGGGTACACATGCATAACAACACACATGCAGGCAAATTTTAAAGACAATCTTCAAATAAATGCTCTAAAATGTCATTTAAATATATTTTTGAAGGAAGCTGACCAGCAAATGGGATGCACTATTTGAAATACCACAAACACCTTATCCAGTGGTCTGCAGTACAGCAGCCTCTGTGCCAGCTGGCAGGAAGGGAGCAGCTGTATCACACTGCTTCCCACTTTGCAGCTCTTGCTTCAAGGCCTTAGTCTGAATAAAGCGTAGAAATCACGTGTGATGTGTTTCCATACGGCTCACCCTCCCTCCCAGTACACATGCAGCAAAATGTCAAGGTTACCAATCAGGCTCAGCTGTGTGCAGGGATTCTTATCCACATGGTGCTTTGGGAACTGAGAAAAGATTGATAATATTTATGCTTTCTGCCAGTGCTGGGGTGCTGAGGGCAGTGCTGGGCTCTGCAGCCCTCCTGCCTCCCTAGGGCTGGGCTGCCTGTGCTGGAGGCTGCTCTGATATGGTGCAGTTGCAGCCTGGTCTCAGCCTGTGGGGAGAAGCTGGGGATGAGCAACAGCTGGGAGAAATGCTGCTGTAGAGCCACCTCTGCTGCTTAGGAAATGCATTTAAGCTCAGGTCCTCAGCCTGGTTCCTTGTATGACCTGTTTTGGCTGATCTGGGATGTTTCTGATGGATCCCCTCTGCTCTTCTTGCTCGGGGACTGGTACACAGTGCCCTACATGGTAAGGTCCTAACCTCTTCTTCCCAGCCCACTCCTGCTAGCAGATCCCCTGGTCTTTTTTATTTGTGGTGATGAGGACTGAACAGCAGTCTAAAAACCTAGCAAATGCAGATTAATAAATGTAAAAATACTCCACAGTAAAGTGAAATGTGTTTGATGCTCCTGTGTGGACCACATCACCTGTCAGTGTTTAAATTGTATCTCTCTGTGGACTATTTTTCAGGGCTGTGTTCCAGCACTGAAAGTCACATCAGTGTGGCCAAGCATATAAACCCTGGGACATTCCCTTTTGGAAATAAAATAAGGAAGCAAATACAGGGAACATGAATTAAAAAAGCCATGCTACTATTCCTAGATACTTTTAAAATTATTTTGACTTTGGCAGGCAGTTTTTGTGGCTGTGTTTTACCTCATGTTTAATTGTAGCTGTTGGTCAGGGCACAGATGCTCAGAGATGTTATCTCTGGGAAAAGGTTGCAAAATGGGTGTAGGTCCATCAGGATGGAGGAAAAAGAATTGCTATGTTGCACCCTTGATGTCGCTGATGACTGTGTTTCAGCAGCTTGTCTTCTGGCTCCCTGTGAATGGGGTGGTAAATAAGGAGTCTGCATAAGGGCAAATACAGCAGGAACTACACAGCCCAGAGACTACTGGAACGGTTGTAGAGAGTAGCTCTGTGACTCCTCTGCTCTAGAAACCCTCTGAGGCCCTTCTATTCCCCATAAGTTGTCTGTCACAGGGACAAAGAGTTTAAAATTATGACTCTGTGGAAAGCAATTTGGATCAGCCATGAGAGAGAGGGAAAGCGTTACCACCAAATCCTTCTTTGCTCGGGTACAGGCACAGGACACTTCTGCCTGTTGCAAAAACCTTGTTCCTAGCATCCTAGAATTTGGGTTCCTACCATCCTAGGGTTTCTTATCTTCCCACTATAACAAACTACTTAAACTAAATCAGCAAGCTGAAGAAGGCTTTTGTACTTTTGTGGCTGGGTGACATCGTATTGTTGTGTATCATAATGCTGGGGTTTTGGTTGTTTTTTTTTTTTACATCTTTATTGTTGGTTCTGAACCTGTGATGTGCCCCTGCTCTGCTGGTTTATCTCTTTTACAGCCTGTGAAGAGTGGTAGATGATTAAACACTGGCAGCCTAAGCCCCAGCTCTGGTTGAACCGGGAGAGATGCTACTGAGTTCAGCAAATTTCTGTGAATTAAAATGGCATCCTGACAGCCTTGAGCATCATTTGAGATTGGTCCCTGAGTTTTCATGGTCTTTGTCCCTGTGTGGCTGTGTCAAGGTCTCCTGTAGTAATACAAACCTTATGAAGTTCCATCCAGAGGCTGCAGGATATTCCTAGACCTTGCTGATGCTCTGCATGCTGTGGAAAGCAGGTTATACAATATGATGGTTAGGTACAAAGACTATGTGACTCATGCATAGGTGGAGCTTTTGTGAAAGCTGGCATGCAGATGTGAGCAAGCAATGTAGATGTACATGGAGATTTGGATATGCTTGTAAAACTTGCATCCCTGTACCCCTTTAGGGTATGTTTCTGCATTCACACCCTTGTGTTTGTATCCATCTGTCTCTCTGTGTACATATGTGGATGCCAGTTTGTGCATGCAATAATGTTGTCCAAAAAGCGGATTCATGCCCAGTGTGCAGTAAACCAATTCCACACTCTTGGAAGTGATACTGAGTTGATTCAGGCTGGGGTGCTGGGTGGACTGTTACACAAATCAAGTCCATGAATGCAGACCCTCTTTGTTACGTTTATACACAAACGTTATAAGGTAGTACACTCCCAGATACAGTGATTGGTTGTAATCTACATATAATTATAATATCTGCTGTGTCATTCCTTCTAATCACCACCCGTGCTCAGAGGAGGGGTCTTCAACTGGCCCAGGGTCTTTTTGACCTTTGTTGTGATTTTAAGTATTATAATGAAGGTAGTTCACTTTAGGACCTTAAAAGTTGGCTCTTTTGCCAAGTTAGGTAACCAAATGGTCACTTTGCCAAGCTGTCAGATAACTCATCCTTTAGTGCTTTGATTGTTCTCCTTTGTTCCCTCAAACACAACCAGTATCATCAGTGTACCATGAAAAGCCAGGCATGAATTCATTGGTACAATTTCAGCCCTGTTTCAAGTGTGGCATGAATCTTGCAGCTGGCACAGCTGGGTGGAGGAGGCTGCGGAGGCTGCATGAGCTCTGCATGCTGGTGAACTTACCTCACATTAGAAGGCAGTGGGGGAAAGTGGGTGGCATGTCACAGCCTGGGCTCTGTTACACGTTTCCTACACACACTTAGCATGCAGGGCTGGAAGACTGGACTTCCTCAGGCAGTACTTGTTTACACAGAGCTGCCTACAAGAAGGACAGTGCCTGGGCAGCAGGGAACTGCCTGCTTGCCAATGTGGGTAGGGTTGGAACACATCAGCTGAGGTATAAACGGACCTGGAGCTCAGTGGTTCCCTGGATGAAATTTAGCAGCATGGCAAGTTTCCTCATGTGGATGGATTTACCAAAAGGTGAGGAAATGCTTAAATATAAACCCCAACCCAATTTCTTGCATCCCAAAGAAAACCCCAAAACTCCTGACCCTCCCTCTGTCGTGGTTTAAGCCCAGACAGTAACTCAGAACCAAGCATCCGCTCACTCACTCCCTACCTTCTTACATCCCACTGCTCCTGGAAGGATGGGGAAGAGAATCAAAAGAATGTAAATCCCACTAGTTGAGATAAGAACAGCCCAATAACTAAAGTATAATACAAAACTACTACTACTGTTTCCACTAATAATTATAAGGGAAGTAATAAGAGGACAGAATATAAAAGGGAAAAAGAAAACAACAAACACAAGTGATGCACAATACAACTGCTCACCACCCGCTGCCAACTGATACCCAGCCCAACTTGAGCAGTGATCTGGGCTTTCCGGGTAACTCCCTCCAGTTTATGTATTGGGCATGACATGCTGGAATACCCCTTTGGCTAGTTTGGGTCAGGTGTCCTGTCTCTGCTTCCTCCCAGCTCCTTGTGCCCCTCCTCACTCTCACAGCATTAAGGACTCAAAAGTCCTTAATCGGAGTAAACATTACTTAGCAACAACTAAAACGCTGGTGTGTTGTCAGCACTGTTCTCAGAGCAAAGCAGAAAACACAGCACTGCACCAGCTGCTAAGAAGGAGAAAAATAACTGTTACAGCTGAACCCAGGACACCCTCCCTCCCCCAGAACTCCAGCACTGGCTCATTTAATGTCTGAACCTTCAGCTCCTGAACCACTGCTGAGCATACGTTTGCAAACAGGATCTATGTGTGTGGGACTGTTCCCCGAGAGCATCTGCTCATCAGCGCTCTGCTGTGTGTTAAAAATTGTTGCTAAACACCCTGCAGAACTGCAGCACCCCCATGTAAGTGGATAAAATGCTCCTTGCTGGGAGAAGGGACAGCACATACTTGCAGACTTTGCTGGGAAGCAAATACTATCTGGAGATAATTGCTAGGAAACAGCAGCGAAAAGCGGCTGCTGAGAAAACCTGCTCCTTGGCTTTGAAGGCATTTTAAGCCGTGCCTGGGGTTTCGCCTGGGCAGAGAGTGCCTTTCTCACCTTCCCTCGTGGGTGGTGGCGTGTGACGCTAGGCAGCATTGCGCGACCCTGGTGCTCAGACGCAAACAGCTCCTGGCCAAAAGTCAGCGGGGCGGGATAGAAACGTTTAAACGTTTCGTAGCGTAGGGCGTCCTGCGGCTCGGCACAGAGGGAAAGCGCGCAGCTCCTGCCTTCCGCCTCCCCAGGCGTCTGACTTCCCAAAAGAAGCAAGGAGCTTGAGCCCCGCCGTGCGCAAGGGATGTTGTGTTGTTTTTCCAGCCATGAAAGAAACCTTTGTTTTTTCTGTTTTTTTTTGTTTTTTTTTGTATGTGGCAAAAGGCATAGAAGTTACTTCATGGGAATGAAATTCATCTAAATCAATGAAATAGGGTATTTATTTTCCGCTGGCCTTGGCTTTCCTGAGGGTCAATCCTTGTGAATTTATACTTTGCCTTTAAAACGTTGGACTTCTCTGTCCCTTTTTTTTGATCGCCTTAGATAATTTATTTCCAGTTCAGCTTGTCAAACAGTGACTCCTGGAAGTGCTGATCACTTGGACCAGCCTTTGCAGTCAGGAGAATGGGTACTGGAGTTCCAGCTCTTCTAGATACTAGATAGATAGAAAAAGATCAGGTTCTACCTGACTAACCTCGTAATGTCATGAAAAGCTTAGGAAGGGCTTCTACTCAGATAGGGTCTCCTAATTGCCTATGAAAGCAGGAGGGATTAATGCTGGCTTTTTGTCTCATTCCAGGTATCAGACTGGGGACTCTTCAGGACTGTGTGTGTGTCTGCCATCCAAAACTGAAGGGGAATGCCCGTCTCTGCCTGTCTGCTGCGTTTTCCCACCTGAAAGCATCGCTGAGGGATGATTTCTTAGGTAACCTGTAATAAGTCTGAAATAGCATTTATAGCAAGAAAACAGTGGGTTCTCCCCCATCCCCTTCACCCAGGCACCCCAAGGGATGTCTGCTTGGGCTGTAATTAACGCTGAGACCAGACAAGCAAACTTGATGAGTACTTATGTCTGGATTAGTACTAAAGTGGTGATTCTCACCAAGACATAGTTCTCTTGGCTGGCACTTAGCATTGCTGTTAGTTGCTTCTCAGGTAGACCTGCAAGACATCAAACATAAATGTTAGATTTCACAGTCTAATGAACTTTTCTGTTTACTAATTAGTTTTGAGTCCACAAAGCCCTTGAAATAGCAGCCTATCCTACACAGTGTGCTTCAGCCAAACCCAGAGCATCCACCATGATGAAAGTACTGAGCATTGCACCAGTCCCTTCCTTCAGTGGGATGCCTGAGCTCAGGTGATGAAAGTCAGAGGTACAGAGCCCTCCCTCTGACCACCATGGAGGCTACAGCTCACAGCCAGCAGGAGGCATCGATCCCTTCCAGCACAGAGACAGAGGAAGACCTTGCCTTCAAGTTAAATGCTGCTGTGAGGGATAGTAATAAAAAAGATGTGCTGGAGCTGCTGGAGAAAGGGGCAGATGTGAACTCCAAAGCAGAAAGTGGCTGGACACCACTGCAGAGTGCCGTGCAAGCTAATGAAGAGGACTTGGTCCTATGATTGGCAAACTGAAGACATCAATATATCCAGCAGAGAATTCAGAATACTTCTCAAGGTGGCATCTACCTTGGGATCCATAGTGGGACAGAGGTGGCAGTAAGAATAAGCTCCAGTACAGAGGGTGACAAAGAGAAAAGGTTCTTTGAACAATGTAGTAACTGTGAACTGAAGCTCTTCCGGTTTGAGAAAGCAGAAGGCTACGTGTACTTACGCTTCCCCCTCTGGGAGAAAAATCTTGAACAACATCTGCAGGAACCAGAAGGCCAAATGGATTGCAAAGGTGCTCTGAGGATGATCTTCCAGGCAGTGAGGGAGCTGCACTCCCTTGGATTTGCTCACCAGGATCTGCATCCCAGAAACTTTTTGATAGGTTATCCTTTGCTTTCTCAGTGTTTTCAGTTTGCTTTCTTGATGTCTGTAGTGTAGAGAAGATGCTTCATAGCTGTCTGTAAAAAAAAAAAACAAAAAACAACAAAACAAACAGATGTCTTTATGCAGAATGGGATGTCTATGGCATTAGAGCTCCTCTTTGAGTGGGTATAGATATGTTTGCGGACAGCCAAAGAACAGAACTTTGCATGTCTCAATAGACCTGTCCTTCTTTCCAGATCTTTGCAGTCAGATTAACCCACAGCAGATCTCTTCAGAGAACTGTTTTCTAAAGAAGGGGCCATCCAGAAGTCAATGACTGTTATATTTTCCACCATTAACATTTCCCCCATAAACTTTGTTTATTATTTCCTCAGATTTAGGTGGCAGAATTTACCTTGCTGACTTCAATAATAAAAGGAGGTTGATTGAAGACAAACAAGAGCTTGTAAACTCAGATTTAGAGGTAACTTCTCTGCAAATCAATGAATGGTTTAAAATGTCAGGTATTCTCCGATATTTTCTGTAGCTGTGAAACCTAGGGGGAAGCCTTTCTGTGTCCTCAATTAGAAACCATTTTGATTTCTGGGAAAGCCCAAAGCACTGCCTCAGGATGATAGTGGCTAGGATGCAAGGCTATAGCTGGTGATAGGATATCCAGAGAACCCTGTGAACATGATTATGGTGCCTGTCTCCTCTGTGCATACAGCTTCCAAGTTTGTGTTTCTATGTATTTGCATACTTCTGCACATCTATAGGTGCACATGCGTGTTCACATATACAGTCAGCTTATTTAGGAATAACAGTCCTTCTCCATTTGGTAAGAAGTTTCACACATCTGGCATGTGAACAGTGATGTGTTTCTTTGCAGGCCCTCAGCAGTCTTGTGCTGTATGTTTTAACAGGGGGTAGGAAGCCCCTTCAGCAAGTCAGTGCTGAAGATTTAGTTGCTGATTCCCCAGATTACAAGGAGGCTCTGGATCTTGTAAGTAGCCTGGTGTCTCATGATGAACGAGGCTTGGAAGGTTTGAGCATACTTCCGTATTTCTGGAGCAAACAGATGTAAGTCCTGGGAGTACAAAGGGAAAGTTTTTGGTAGGAATTTGCCTGTAGTGCTGGGAGCAGCAATGTCCTGTTGCAGCTAATGAATCATCTAATTCCACAGCAGGTTCAATTTCCTGAAGACTATATGGAATAAAGTCAAAGATCTCCACAATCAGAAAGCTGTCTTTCAAGCTCCTAATGCTACTGAAAGTTTTCCTTGTCCATGGTGGACCAAGGAAGTAATCCTCTTCTCTTTGAATTAGTACAAGGTTTGAGTGAAACACTTAGGCACAAGCTTTTTCTATTTAGGAAAAAGCCCCATTTAAAACTTTAACTGAAAAAAAAGAAGCTTCAAAAGTAGCAAATACAGGTAACTGAAGGAAACAATTAAATTTAAGCCACGTAATCAGAGTACCCAAGACTAAAAGCATTGGTGGTAAAGGGAGCTCTGTTGATGGGGGTGTTAGTAGGGGATGCTCATGATAGAATTAGCTGGCAAACCTTCAGGGGTGTTTGTTGGTGACCTCTGGCCCTTGCTGCCAGCAAATTCCTGGCAAATATGTTTTGTTAGATTGGCTCAAAAGCAGTGAGACCAGGCTTGTTTTTGCAGGGAGCATCTTGGAAAGACATGCTGCATGTGTTTGAGATATGACAGTCTTGGCTCAATGCAGCAGCCCATGTGGTCCTTTCACCAGTGGCACAACTGGATCAAGACTTCCAAGTCTCCCCCTGCCCTAGAGGCATGCATGAAAATCTCCTGTTCCATGTTGACATCCTAGTGCAAATGCCATAGATGGGAAACAGCAAAATCAGGGGGTCTGTGTGGTACCTGCCTTGCAGAGTGAACTCTTCTGCTCGTGTTGGGGAATACGCTTTTAAGAGTTACAAGATTTACTCATGCAAGATGATGTCTCTGCAGAAAGGCAGTAGGTGTGGTGAGTGGAGGTAGATGTGCTGCTTTTGTGGTGTGTGAAAGGTAGAGAATCATCTGTGTGTTTTTTTTTTCAGATTAACAGAGATGTTCTGAACATCATGGAAAATCCCAAGAAAGGAAGATCATTCAAATATAGCAACAACGTCAGTGACCTACTGAGGTTCATCAGAAACCTGAATGAACATCCAGATATCAGGTACACGTTCACGTCCGTGCCCCTGCCACAGTTGCATTGCAGGGAGCATATGGGTATCTGGAAATGTCAGGGAGTTTGAGGACGAAAATCTTCAGATGGTTTTCGGGAAGGGAGAACACAACTGGGAGGTGGGAGAAAGTCCATTAGAGCTCATCTCCTTAGAGGGGTTATCTCTTCTGGCAGCACAGTAGTGTGTGAAGATCGTGTGTCATGGCTGCAAGCCATCTGGAGTCAGTCCTCAATATCACCTTCCAGAGGGTAAGAAAAGGAATTTAGATCATCTCTCACAGATGAACATCCTCAACCAGAGCCTTCTGTTCCAGAGGGATGGCAGCAGCTACAGAGTTGATGGCACTCCCTCTGCATCTTAGCCTTTGCAGAGCAGGCTGTGGGGTGGAGAGGTGTCCATGACAACTAAGGCAGGTCATGGCTCTGCAGCAGAGGACACCATGAACATGTCTTCTGGGCTGTTATTGTTGCTGCAGGCTGGTGTTTCTTGCTGTAACTCCAGAAAGGTTTTTAGATCCCTCTTAAATATTTGTATTTTCCTTTATACTTTTGAAAAGCCTTCTTACCTACCTTTCTAGTATTTCCAAAGTGCTGATGTTTACTGTGCTGAAGTGCATTGAGATATGGATCACATAACAGCACAGCTCCTGTTAGAAGATCCTATTAGGAGGTCTTGACTCCTAAAAAGCTGCTAGTCTCTAACCCTCCATAGTCATGGGTGCTTAAGCATGAGGTTAGAGGTGGTGTTTGCTCCTGAGACAAAGAGGCACAAAAGTACAAAATGTAATCAGTTCTAAGTAATGTTAAGTTTGATGGCTTTGTAATGGAAAGTGACTGTGGTGCTTGAAGGTAGTTGACATAGTTTCAGGCCCTCAGGACCCTAGTACAAAAGGTGTGAGAAAAGCAGAACAGAAGGACAGGACCTGGGGATGGGGAGTATCTGGGACTAGCAGATGTCCAGGGTGGGCACAGATAAACTAACTGATAAGAAGAAGGACAGGATGATCGCTATGTTTGGGGTGTTAATAAAGCCATTAAACTGGTGTAAGCATCTACTCGGGAGTATCCGGGACTAGCAGATGTCCAGGATGAGAGCAGTTAAACTAACTGATAAGTAGAAGGCCAGGATGATTGCTATGTCTGTAATGTTAATTAAGCTTGTTGGGAAAAGTCAACGACCCTTAAAGACCACCACATTTTTGGAAAATGAGGTAACACACTCAGTGACCATGTAAGGATGACCTGTATAGCAGTTCGGGGGCACACGTTAGGAGGAGCTATCCCCCGTGTCTCCCGGCGCCAATAAAGAATACCTGCTTGTCAACTTGAAACTGTTGGTGAGTTTGTTCCTGGAGTTTTCTCCGAATCACTCCTAGTGATGATTTCACTGAGGCTGGTAGCCAGCACTGCTCTTCAGTGAAGATGCAGGTAGGATTAGGCAGATGGAGGTGCTGGAGAAATAGTGAAAAAAATGGATTGAGTAGTTTAGGGAAGGTATAGAAAAGTTGCAGCTCAAGTATTTATAGGAAACCTTCCTGTGTTATCAGAAAGCCTCTGGAATGTTGTGGGGTTTTGGGTTGGTGGTGTTTTTTTTTAGTTTTTTTTGGGGGGAGGGTTGGTGGTTTTGTTTCTGTTTTTGTTTTCTCTGCAAGGGAGGAACCAGGGTATCCTGGATATTTGAGTCTTCAGGCAAGCTTTAAAAACCCTTTTTGGGTTTGTTCTCTTTCAGGATCAGCAACAAAACAGGAGACCATGCTGAATATTTCCTGAAGCTTTTTCCAGCACTTACCATTTATGTGTACAACAGTTTATGCCAGAATCCTGAATACAGTCACTTTGCAGACATTCAGTACTCTTTTCTGTAGGATGTCATTGCCTCCTGTCCCATGTCCAATCCCACCATCGCTGCCTCATTTTATGCCCTATTTCTTCGTCTGCAAAGGAGTGAAGAAAGTGGGTAAGGAGATGGGAGAGAGCAGATGCAGGGACAGAGTGTGCAGGACTTAAGCTAAGAAACTGAAGATGCTTTCGAAGTGTTTGGTGTAACAGGTTTTGGAGAGGAACCAAGTTGAGTGCCAACCCATGTCCCCCTTGACTACTCCATCCCTCTGGACTTAACCTGCATCTGTAAGGTACAGATCAAGGCCCTGATCCTTATGGAGAGCAGGGAGATGTGGGACAGCCCCCATAAACCTGATGTGTCTGAGAGGCAAGAGAAGAGCTCGGGCATTGCCAGATGACATTGGACTCTGCTAAAGGAAAAAGTTCAAACTCCTTGCTAGGGCAAATATTCCCTACAGTTTGTACTAATGAGCTGCTCATCTAACCCTAGAAAGACAAGAATCCTCTCTTTTCAGTCTTTCTGAAACACAGCAGCCATAAGATGCCTAGGCAACGGCTCATTATTCATCTGATCTGTTAAAGGTGCACTCAGGCCAGCCTGCTGGGACCTGAAGGACTTCTTTTGAGGAACACAGGAGATGTTTCCACAAGGAATGGGTGCAAGGAGCACAATTCCATGAAACTGCTACTGTTCCTGACTCAGCTGAAGAAGGTCACTGACATCAAAGGGACTCCAGGGACTGGTTCCTCCTGGAAAGGACAAGCTCTGTTGTGGCAGGCTGCATCTGCAAGGCTTCAGCACTTCTGTCTCCAAACCAGTGCCACTGCTGGGGTATTACTGTCCTGCTAGATTTGGCTCACTTCCACAGTGCTGGTGCCCATACAGCTGCAGCATGCAGCCACATCAGAGGTCTTGTATTGGAGGCTCATAGCACAAACCCATTTCTGAAATCCTACAGCATGCAATGTGTGTCTGATTGTCCAAGGGCTTGCTTGTTTCTCCACTAATGCTCTGATTTGCACAATGATTACATGTTGTGTATGGAAATATTTCTCAGCTGTTGAAAAGATTCCTTAATTTTTTTCAGACTGAGATTGTTATTCTTTCAATTAGCCTGTGGAGACCCAAACTTGGAATAAACTTGCCTGGAAAACTGACTGTACACTCATTTATGAATGAGGTTCCTGCATCCCCTTTGCACAGAAAGAGATAGTCTGCAGCACTGTAAAATGCTCAAAAGGCTGGGATTTTTGGTCTCCCTGTGGAGGTGCCTCTTGGTTGCTTAGGTAAGGTGGTGGATGGTTTTGTCACTGTTCAGATGAACTGCTTCTAGTCTATATGGGTATTTGATGGGAAAAGATGTTGGGAAGTACTGAAGGCTTCCTGTCCTCAGAAGCAAGCTGTCTCTTGTGAAGTAACCCCCTGAATGGTGGGGGGTTTTGCATTGTTTTTGTGGAGTGAGGGTGAAGATTAGCGTCAATGCTTGCATGTGTGTGTTTGCATACATGTAAAAGTCTGGGAGTGGATGTGTTTGACCCATCTCCTCTACAAATTAATGGCTGTCCAGAATGTATCGTTGAGCCTACACATCTGTTTTAGCTGTGTATGATTATAGATTTATTTAGGATCATAGAATCATAGTTAGGGTTGGAAGGGACCTTAAGATCATCTAGTTCCAACCCCCGTGCCATGGGCAGGGACACCTCATGCTAAACCATATCACCCAAGGCCTTGTCCAACCCAGTCTTGAACACTGCCAGGGATGGAGCATTCGCAACCTCCCTGGGCAACCCATTCCAGTGCCTCACCACCCTAACAGGTGTGAATTTCCTCCTTATATCCAATCTAAACTTCCCCTGTTTAAGTTTTAACCCATTATCCCTTGTCCTATCACTACAATCCCTAAGGAATACTCCCTCCCCAGCATCCCTATAGCCCCCCTTCAGATACTGGAAGGCTGCTATGAGGTCTCCATGCAGCCTTCTCTTCTCCAGGCTGAACAGCCCCAGCTTCCTCAGCCTGTCTTCATACGGGAGGTGCTCCACTCTCCTGATAACTACCTGCAAACCAGGAGGCATTGCTGTGCATGAATTGGGTTGCAGACTGCCATACATATGGCTGGTAAGGTCCATGTGCCAGCCTGCATCAGTGGTCCTGGCTCAGAGCAAAAGGTCCTTCTGATAGTCTTGGGAACCTTTTAAAAAATATGTGAATGCAACAAGAAAGCTTGACTGTGCCACTATGAGGTGCCAATAAGAGAAAATACAACCAGGAGAATATTGACTCCTCTCATGTCAATATTTTTTTCTTTTCTACTACTCCTCGCTCATTTTTTCTTGCTCATTGTCTCTTCTCATGGTCAGAAAGCAGGAGGACGCATAGAGATGTATGTCCAAGTCTCGGCAGCATTGGGAGCAGGGATACTATATGAAGCACTATGTCACCATGCAAATGTGGCTCAATGCCACAGCAGTATGTTTCTGCTCTTGCATAAGGAGAGGTGAGGCAATGGGCTGGGCTCCTTCAGCCTGTTGTAAAGCACCACATTTCTGGCTTGCTTTGACCTTTGCATCTTCTTGCATTGCTCTGCTGTTTTGCTAAAGGGCTGTGACTTGGCAACCTTAAAAGGCTGTGGAAAAGCCTTCCTGAAAGTGGGGAGTTCTCAAGGATGTCCAAACCAGAGCAATGATCAAACCCATGGAGGCTGTGACCTGTCTCTCTGGGGAAATCAGGCTGCTGGGAAGAATGTCCAGGAAAGGCTTGCGTGGTCTGCAGGGCTGTGTCCTGCTTTCCGAGAAGCCAGAGGTGTACCGGGAGGCTGCTGTCAGAGAGGAAACTTGATCCATGTGTAGTATCTGCAAAGCTTGCTCACAGGGTGTCGGCCCACATGAAGAAGGGGGCATGTGGGACTGGACCAGTGCTGGGGAGACCACCAAGCCATGCAAGGCTGCCTCTCCTCCTTGCAGGATCAGGGAGGATGGGTGAGTGCTCAGTCAGAGGCCCGGCAGGATGGAAATCCAGTGGCAAGGTCAGCTGGAAAGTATTGAAATGGGGTAGTATGGCAGTTTCTGAGGGTGCAGCCTGGGGACAAAGGTGTCCTGGGGAGCTGGGGGGTAGAACCAGCTGCCACAGTTAATGCTGCTTGATGTGCTGATGGCTCCCAGCATCAGTGCCCACCTGGGAGGTGCTGCCTGCCTTTGCCTTTTACAGGCAGGCTTGCAGACCATGCGTGGTGCCCAAGGGCATGCTGATTTGGCCCTACACGCTTCATTCCCCTGCTGTCATGCCTGTACATTGTCTATTTGCTGTGCCTCTGCCTTTTATCTCTGCTCCTGCAGGCAGCTGGCTTAACCCCATGTGATGGGATCAGGTGCTCCCCATCCTGTCACTTTTGTGCTGAGGATATGCTTGTGCACAGGCATGGTCCCAGGTCAATGTGTTTCATCTGCTACACTGGGAAAAAAAACCCAGTCTGCAGATGCAGTGGAGTGAAGATCATTTTGGCTGTGGTTTTGCTATGTGGAGCTTCAGGCACATCCGTGAAGCCTTCTAGAGAGTGGGCTCAGCTGGGCTCAGGCTGCAGAGCCTGAAGTGTTAGTGAAAAGCACATAAAAATGCAGCTAGCTTTTGGGGCTGAAGGTTTTTGGAGCAAAATCAAGTTACATCGCAAGGGCAATTCTGAGGATCTGTTTAGGTTGTAATAGTGGCATCAGCTTCCTAAGTCCTTCATTTATAGAAATCTGCTTAGATTTGTCCAGGTTTTCTGATCCTCCAGAAGCAAAGTGTTGATAATCATAACTCACAAATATGAAACATGTCAGTATCTGCCTTAAATACACCTGTGTTATTCCCAGGATGCAGTCTTCTAGGATCTAAGGGTTAAAAAGTGGCTAAAAATAGCTCAAAGTTACAAAGCTGGGAGCTTGCTAGGGAGCTGTCAGAGTCAAGGTGTGATAAAGATCATGGTCTTTTCTTCATGAGGTCCAAAGAACGTTAGGGATTTCTGTGGCTTCCTGGTGACGAGGCAAAGCCACTCTGACTCAGTTTCACCTGGGGAAAATGAATATGGTATGATTTGGTTAGTGCTTTGTAAACATACTAGCTGTTAAAAAAACATTCTGAGGCCTTGAGTCAGGCATGAGCTGATTTTGATTGGAAAATCAGAAAGGCTGTGGCAAGGCAGGCACCATCTCACCGCTCAGGGACAGATGAGTAGTAAGCCAGGTGGGCTCTCTTAGCATTGCCACCCACAGGAGGTATTTAAGAGTGAAGAGCTGAGATGAGGTTGTGAGCCATCCAGATCACAGCAGTCTCGGTGTTTTGTGGGAAGCGTGGCTCTCTGCATAGCAGGGCTGGAGCAACTTCTAGGGGTGGGTGATGTTTGAGGAGCCTCTTTCTTAGGCAAAGTATTTATTGTGACTGCTTTCTGGCTGTAAGCACCTTCCAGATTGGGAAAGACCTCAAAGGCGCTGGTGTGCTTGGGCTACGTGTAATTTGTTTACACTGTTGGGGGGTCCCAGCTATGTGCAATGCAGTCTTTTACAGGTACATGTAAGGAAGGAGACTATTGTGTGGATAAGGGTATCAGATCAGGTGGAAATACACGCTGTGGCATGTTCCTGGTGTAGTTCCAGAGGTGCAAGCTGCTATGCTGTTACCAGGCAAGCTGGAGGATGCTGTGAATATTTTTAGGTCTTACTGCTGATTAAGTGCAAACTATGCAGTGTGATTGGGCTGTGCAGAGCTTTCTTGGAGCATGCCCCTGTCCTGCTCAGTGTGCACATTATGTTGGGAGTTCTGTCCTTCCCCTGATGTCTGCAGGGAAGGGAGAGATGTTGCATGAGTGGCCATGGTGCAACTGCTGATGGAGGCAGGGTGCAGGTGATCAGAGGTGAGCAGCATGGCTGTGTGCTCCTGGGAAGTTGCTCAGGGTATGGAGAGGTGCAGGAACTGGACATTTTCTGTGAGTGTTACTGGACATGGTGGGGGTGACCAGCATACTGCAGAGACCCACCCAGTTGGCCTTTAGGTTTTAAGGGGTGTCGTGGCTCAGCTGCTCCAGATGCTTATGCTGGTGTGATCTGGGGGAGGTAGACTGCTTCTGTGACCGCCTACCTGCTCTGAAGGTAGAGCCTTTTCTCAAGACTTTAATCTGAATCTGGGGAAAACAACATATACAAACTTCCTATCATGGACCAGTGCAGGAAGCCCTAAACCCCAGCTCTGGTCCTGGGCAGCTGGAGCTCCACTTGAGAGCAGGAACACTCCTTTCAGCACTTTTTTGCTCCTTCTGTTGTTCCATTGTCATCTGGGGTTGTGGCAGCAGGATCTGGATGCCTTGTGTGAATGATAAGACAATGATGGCATGATTGCCTGGTGAGGGAGATGAAGCAGTACTGTGTGGCAAGCGCTCTGACAGCAAATGAGGGAGGACACCAGGATGCTTCTTTGACTCCTATGGGGCTTATACAAAGGTTAAAGAAGGGTGGCTGAGCAAGCACTTGGATTACCCAAATCTTGACTGTGGAGCAATTTGGGGGCTGCAGGGCAGGGGTGATATGCCCCACCCTGGCTCTGTTGCAGTGTTGGGGGGTCCTGGGTGGCAGATGAGGGGCTTGCAAGGAAATGGCACTTGGAAAAATGGGGACACACGTTTGCACAGCTGCTCCCACACACAGACATGCTCCCAGCTTTGTGCCAGTGTGGGCAGCTTCTCCCAAGAGGAGCTCCATGCTCTTGCTCGTGAAGTGGGGTGCAGGTAGTATTCCCAACCTCAGCAGGACCGGCCCCTCCGCTCTGCGTAAAGGCACAGACAGCACCACAGTGACGCCTGGTGATATAGATGGATTTAAGTCTGCCACCTTCCCAGTGTGCACACACTGCATCTGCACAAAGCAGTAATCCTCAAAATCGGCAAAAAGCAAGGCGTGGACGATAAGAGGTTTTCTTGGAGTTATAGGTATTTTCCCTAACAATTTTGGTGCCTTTAAGAGACAGCACAACCATATTTCTCAGCTGAAAAGCAAGCTTTTTATCTAAAGGTCGGAAAAGCAAGACTCACAGATAAAGGTCATTGGTGAAACTGTGATAAGGTGCAGAAAGGCGTTCCAAGCAAAAGGTACCACTTGCATTATTGCATTCAGAACCTGCAGCTATTTTGGGGTTGCATGCTGATTTGGTTTGCTTCTCTGACAGGGTACTGCAGTCAGGGCTGCCTGTGGGCTGACAGGTGATGCAAGAGCAGGAGGCAGCCTGTGCTGCATCCTACAGGTACAGATCTGCCCGATGGTGTCTACCCTTCCTACTCCACCAGGCTGAATATGCCAGCCATGCAGGCTAGGACAGGGGAAATGAGACGGGTCTGAGAGATCACACATGTATTCCCAAGACACATCACTCGAGCTGAGTGATTTTATCTGCCTGGCTCTGGTTATTTGTTCCTGAGAGGCGCTGCAAGAAGCTGTGGCTCGGGGAAAATTATCCCAGGGACAGTCATTGCAGGATTAATGTCCATGTGAGGAAATTCAGTCTTTTTTACACATCCATGGCCGTCTCTCCAGAGCAGTATCTTAGTGGGGCTCTGTGAGCTAAATATGGGCTGCATTGCTCAGGCAGCAGTGGGGATGGAAACCAGCTCCCCACTGGTTTCCTGAAAACCTTGGCAAACGTGTGTCTTTTTACCAGATAACACATCTCCTGTGTAACGTATTACTTCTGGTTTACTGCTAGCTGAAAATAGATCTGTGATAGGTTAAGTTTTGCTTGCTTTTTCTGGGGGCAATTAAAACAACTGTGTTTGAGAAGGACCTAGAATTGCAGTGAGGCTCTGTAAAGTGGAGACTCAAGCTGAACACTGCTTATTATCCAGTGGAGATACGTAAGGTTTTGGGGTTAAGTTAATTGATGTGGCTTGGCAGTCTTGGAGAATGCAAGCACAGGGGTTTTACCCCAGCTTGGCTGTGGAGCAGCAGCTCAAGCACCTGCCTGTAGGTATCAAAATTGTATAAACCTGATTTTTAACCAGAACTTGACAGCAATAAATGACAGGGAGCTGAACAACAGCTTGATAACACCCACTCGACCGTCAAAGCAAAATTAGTATGTGCCTATTTTGGTTTCCCCTTTAATCAAAAATCAATTAGACAATTTCCAAATGAATATTCAGTCAAGGAGCTGGGTTGTCAGGCAGACTGACAGCGCTTAGCACCACTTTCTTTGTGTTTTTCAGTTTAGAGTTACTCAGTGTACTGAAACTAAACAAGTGGATGAGGAAGGAAAAGTATCTTTCCCAGTGAGTGTCACCTCAAATCCTGATGAAGCTTATTTTCCATTGAGGGTGCTCAGAGCATTCCCCGTGTAACACCACTGAGCCTGGTGTGTGGCTGTATAGTTCTCCTTTTCTTACTCTCATTTGACTTGCAACCCAGAAGATTAGTTGCTTTATTTCTATTTTAGGAGGTGTGTGAGAATATTTTTTAACTGTTTATCAGTGCAGACAAGAGTTATGCAACAGTTTTTTGCTCATGAAGTCTCTGCACCCACTTCCCTATTCCTGAAAGAAATTTCTAAAAACCCACTGGGAAATTTTGACTGAATCTGCTGGAAAGGATTTATTTCAAAGATGCTTCATTTTCCAGTCGGTTTGCACCACACGCATCCTCATGGCTGTGTGACGGAAAAACTTCGGCTCTTTTAAGGTGCACCCTGTGGGACACCAAAAACCCAGATCTGGACATTTCTGCATTAGAAGAACAAGCCTAAGGACAAGTGTGGAGCAGGGAGACAGGTGCTTAGGTTACTTGGACTGTAGATACCATGATTTGGAGGAGGTTCTTGTCCTAAGCAAAGAGATTTGCACCCTGTCCTTCTTGGAGACTTGAAAGCTCCTCATCACCTTTCATGTGCAGAGCCTGTATGAGAAACCCTGAAGACAGCAAATCCAAGCAGACATCTGCAGCTAAGCTCCTGGGGAGTGTCTCATCTGCATTTCACCATGTCAGAGAAACAGGTGACTGGAGAAAAAGGCTGGCATCCACAGAACCAACCGCACTCTGGGAGAGAGGGGATGGTGTCTACCTTCTCCAGGAGTGTATCAGGACAGGGAAGATGATGACCTTAGTTCTGTGGTAGATGACAGAGTTTGGTAGCTCCTTGGAAGGTAAATTCCAGACAAAATCTCTCTTCTTCAGAGATGTTTACCTGGCCACAGAAGAGACCCTGCTTGACCAAAGGAGTTTGTGGCACCTCTGATGGGCCCTAGAAGTATGTTTCTCTCCCTGACCCCACTTGTCATTTCAGCAGTCTCCAAGGAGAGAGACTAGTTACATCCTAGCTGACTGTCCCAGATAAAAGGGCAGGATCCCCCCTGGATTTCTGTGGAAAGCACTGTGCTGTGCTTTCCAAAGGGAAAGATATGGCTATGGCAAGGGGAAAAGGTGGCTGCAGTGGGGAGGGGATGATGGTGACCTTTTTCTCTGGAGAATGAGAGGACTGAATTGGTGGCATGCAGCACCCATCCTGGTGCTTCAGCTCTGGCATTTCTCTGGCAGGTAGGAGATTTTACCATCTCCTTGTCCACATGCTTGTTCTCAGTCTACCTGGGTCAAGCGCTAGTGTGGGTATGGTGATGGATTGCTTCCCATCCTGTGGAGCCCAAGTGGAGGTCCCAAGATTCAGAGCATGCTCTGAAGATTCACAGCATGCTTTGCTGGAGCAGATCCAGACCTCTGCCTGGTTCCCCTTTCCCTACAGTCACTCACAGCTGTGATGCAATGGTCTTGAGCAATGAGCAGACAGCAGCCTCCAGCTTTCCTGGGTGGGTCCCAGGATCTTACCCACAATTTGGGCAGAATGTCAGAGTTCAAGAAGAGTTTGCTGATGATGGTGACTTTCCTTTTGAGAAAAGTAACTTCCTTTTCTGACTGTATGTTGCTGGCAGCCAGATGCATGATGAGGGCAGAACTTTCGTGGGATGGCGGCTAAGTTGAGGGAGCAGCTGACAAGGGGGTAGCTCTGAAGTTGGGGTCCCACTGGACTCCTATGCTTGGAGAAGGTTGGAGAATAGAACATGGTGGGGGGGAAATGGTAAATCTCCTCCATGGGCTCTGTTCTTGCACATAGCAGGCTTGGGAGTGTCTGTCCTGCCTATCTGCAGCATGTTGCCTCCTCCAGACCAGCATCCTGGAAGCCAAACAGTGATTTTGTCCCCATAGAACAAGCCTTGCTGGCCTTGCTCAGGTAAATTTATCAGCAGCTTCAGCAGCAGTTTTGCTGGGGTGAGGGCCTGGCTGCGATTTTGATGGATCAGCTGACAGTTCATTGGGAAATATGTTTGCAGCAGTTGCTGTCTGTCACCTTGGGGTGGGATGGACGGTTGGGAAGGATGTGTTTGTATAACCACTGGGCTTAAGGAACCAGCTTGACCTGGGTGCTCACCATTGTTTTACCATTGTTTTCTGGACAAAGATCTGTGCTGTCATCAACGTGTGGGGGCTGACTGCTTCAGCCTCATTTATTTCTTTGGTGGTAGAAGTGTGGCAGTTCAGCTCCTCTTCTGGAAGAGAAGTGTGGTCACTGCCTTCCCCTGACTGCCACCCACGAGCCACTGTGATATCTCTTTCTACCCTCACCCTCTCCCACCATTACCTGCCCTGTCTGCTGTTTGCTGACTTGGGTTTTCATTCTTTTTCTTTTCTGTACTGTGCTAATTGCATACTTTGGGAGTGAAGCTGTGACTCCAAGAGCATCCAAAGGAGATAAGATAGGGAAGAGCTAATGCTGCCGCCACAGGAATTGCATGTTGCAGGTGTTGATCTATAGATCCTGACGACAAATAAGCCACCTTTCTAGAACTGTAAGTGGCAGTGGAAGGCCTCAGCAAATAAACGCTCCACTGGATGGGAAAGGGGAATTGGCAAGTCCCTGCAAGAGGATATAAAATCTGCAACTAGCATCTAGCTCAGGAAGGAGGATTTTATGATGAAAGGGGTAAAGTATGGGATGGGAGGGCGCCTATCAGCTGGGGTTTCAGCATGAAAGTAATTTCTGACAATGCTGTTAATATTGAAGCTCTTCATCTCTGGGTTGGTCTCTGGCTAGCTTCTCTACAGCCATCCAGAAATGCAGTAGCTTATCTGTGTTGTGCTCCTCAAGGAACTGCTTGAAGAACTGCAAGTGGTCAGGCTTGTGCAGTATTTTCATTAAGTGCCTCTAGAGGAGGAATCACCAGGAGATGTGATCTCTGTGCCACCAGTGACCTGGAAAATACCCAGGACCTCTGTGCTTGCTTTTCCCACAAGAAAGACACATCTGAAGAAGAGCTAGAAATATGTGGATAAGTGGTGTGTGGGATCTGTAAACAGACGGGCCAGCAAAGGTACCAGTAGAGCACAGCCTCCCTTGTCTGCCTTACCCATAGAATTGTTTAGGTTTGGAAAGACTTTAAAGGTCATCATCCACTGAGCCACTGGGAATCCAGAGAGGGAATTCTTTTGACAAGCTGATTCTTTTCTGCTATAGGTGCACCTGTCAAACAGCTTTGCTTGCCATATATCCAAAGGAACTGGTCTCAGCCTGAAGAGGAGGCTGAGGCTTTAGGGAGTCAAGCAGAAGGCAGGACTTTGGGACTGTGATGGGCACCTCAGAATCTGCAAGTGAACTGAGCAGCCCCAGAGAGACCAGGGGAGGGAGGAAGGTAAGGAGGGGGCACGTGGAAGAACTAGTGGGAGAAGGAGCCTCTGCTCTTCTCTCACTGAGAATAAACAACAGTTTGCCTCTGAATGGCAGAGGGCTTCATGCATTTGGCCAGGAAGGGGGTGTTCTGGAGTGGAAAACCTTCACCTGTTGCAGCTGGTATATCAGGAGATTATCGACAGATGCAAAGCCAGAGGATGGCAACATTGAAAAGATTCATCAGAGCTTTGGAAAACCAGAGCTCAGAGTGGACTGGGATTTCAGGTCATTTATGAGGTTAGAAAGACCTTCTTTGAAGTTCAGTGGATTGGGTTAAATATTTGCTTTAAGCGTGGCTCCTGAGACTGACTTCCACAAGTAACAATAATAGCTGCTCTTACTTGGGATTTGTGTCCTGGTTACCATTTATATCCCTGTGTGGAACTGCAAGGACTCATGCCTGGAGTATTCCCAGGAGGTGAAACATGAGCCATGTGGACATTCATGTGGTCAGTGAGTATGGAGATTTAAGTTGTGGTCACAGAATGATTCTGAATGATTTTTCTGGGAATCTGAGAGCTGCCCATCTGTAGTACAGGTGGCATGCCAGAGTGTGATTGAGGATGAATTGCATGAGGCAGGCAGAAGATGTGAGAAATAAATCTGATCTATATTGTGTGTGGGGGGTTGTTAAAATAGTTTTCTTCTTTCCTTGATAACTACAGTTCAGACCCATGGGCCACTTGTGCCTACATCTGAGAAGGCCCAATGAGGAAGCAAGGGAGCAGTGACACTACAAGAAAGCACTGGGGAAAATCTGCTTCCTGAAAGAGTGGAAGTAGCAAAAACCAGCAAAGCCCTGTGCTGCAAGGTGCCAGACCTGAATCTTCTAGGTGGGTTATCTACTAGAGCAGAAGCAGACTTCATTATGTTTGATTTGTTTTTTCTCACTGGAAGAGTCCTTTTTGCTCTTGTGTTCAACAGCTGTGTGGACAGAACAGGATTGGCCGCTTCCTCAAATCACAGCCAGAGCCTGCTCACAACTGGCCACAGGGCAAAGGACCCCTGAGCCACCATGCTGTTGTCTGCATGGTGAACCCAGTGCAGGAGACACTGGGTGTTGTGGGAACTCTTCACCTTGCATGTTTTGACCTCCTCAGCATCTGCTTCAGAGAAGCCTTCACACTTTCCCTGGCTGGATTAACACCCCAAAACACATGCCTTTCAAGGGTGGCTAGGCCTCTCCTTCTGGAGATGTTCTACTAGATGACGGGATACAAACAGGGAAGACCCCTGCTAGTCCAGTCCCCTAAGGGTATGCTGGAGCACCTGCAAGGGCATAATGCTTGGAGCCCATCCTGCTACCAGCCTGCTCAAGATTGGAGTGAACAACTGATGGGCTTTTGAGACTTCAAAGCTCATTTTCCTTGCTTAGGCTATCCAAAGTCAGTGAAGGTTTCTGAACAGCCAGCTTATTTGACATCATCTTCTGGGAGTCTGCATCAGATAGAGAAAGGGGAATCATTCCTTCTGGCTTTAACAGCCCTTCAGAACTTGTTTTTAGTTATGTATTGTGATCATTATTCACCTTTTCTTTCCCCATATGTGTCTTGTTCCTATGATCTGTCTGTGAAACTGCATTTCTCAGGTATGACTGAGGCCCCACAAACTAACTGAGGGTTGCTACGGGTGACTGCTTTCACTCTCAGTGCACTGATAGGTGCCTAGAAACTTGATGTCATTCTCAAAAGATAATTTGAGAAGACAAAACTGAGGTGTCCCACCAGCATGACCACAGGAGAGTGTAAAGATGTGGAAATGGGGTGTGACAATGGCTGTCAGTGGCTTTGGATTTCAGTTGCTTTGCTGCAGATTTCATTTGATCTGGTGACACAGGCTAGAGTAGGGATGTAGTATTTGGTACCTCTGGTACTGCCAGGAGTGAATTTGGCCCATAGGTCACTGCCAAAGCTTGGATTACAGCTGACAGCTCCTATATACTCTCCCAACCTGCTCCATGATGTCCATGCCCAGTCAGCAATACAGTAATGCATCTGTGTGTTACAGACATTGGTCACCACGGGTGCACAAAGTATGCTTTATCAGTTCAAGTCAACATGAGCCACAGCAGAAATTCAGAGCCCCCTCTTACTGGTATTGCACAGGAGAGGTTCCACCTCTGCCTGGATGGAGCCCCCATTCTGGAGGTCCCGAGTGGCAATTAATTGCCAGTGCTTGGAGGAGAGACCTTCCAAATTCCTTGTGCCATGCAAGGCCTGGCTCAGTTTCAAGGACTGGTTTATCCGCTGGGACAGGAGGAAACGTTCTTCTTTCCCAACAGTATGGTCTTGCATCTCGGGCATCGGGACATTGCTCTGCAGAGACTACAGGGAGAAGAGAAGAGGCTGATTGCACAGAAGACATACCCCACCTGAGGAGCTGCTCCTGCACTGTGCCTCATGGGCTAGCTGCATGGTTTACTGTGCTTTAGAGTGCAAAGCTACCCAAGTTAGATCTCTGCTCTAGCTTTAAACTCTCAGGAATTTAAACTCTCAGGAGTTTAAAGCTCAGCACAGATCTTAACCGTATCTGTGCTGGCCTGCAGCTGGGTCATACTGGGGACATGCAGTAGGTCCTCCAGGTAGTCCAGACAACAGCTTGACAGTCAAGGCAGCAGCTTTCTTGAAGAGATCAGTGTCCACCAAGGAGGGCTGAAAAGAACCCTGGGCAGACATAACCTCATCTGCCTTTTTGTTTGGCTGCTGTGTCTGGCTCTGGCCAGTGCCATGCAAGTGCCTCCACTGCCCACCACTGAGACCCTCCTGCAGGTTTTGGCCCTCCCCACTGGTAAGGAGTTTGCATGACTCGCCAAGCAGCAAGGTCAAAGTGGCTGGTTTTTGACCAAGATACATGCAGCTGAGAGCAAGCACCAATAATAACCTTGCTAAACCCCTGAGCAGTATCCCTGACATCACTGTGGTGACACCCAGGAGGAGTATGGCTTAGGGAATAGTGCCTGCAGAGAGCATGGCCTTGACACCTGCTGAAGTGCTAATTGCACTCCCAGACCAGCCCTGTGCTCTGAGCAGTGATTTCCTTGACAAGAGCTGCTTAAAAACCTGGACAGCTGATTAACTTACAACCAAGAGCATTTAATGAATCAGGGTCAGCAGCTGCCAGCTGACTTCCAAAATGCTCAGCTTTCGTTGACTGGGACACTAGCATTGCTGTGAGCCAGGTCTTTGGGGGCACTAGCCCTGACAGCCTCTCCTTACCATTTCCAGGATCATCTGCTGATTTTATGTTGCAGTTTGGTGAAAGGTCTAATAGTTTGAAGAACACTGTCTGCAGTGAGCGAGATTGCCTGTGTGGGTTTATGCGGGGACCCAAGCAGGTGGGATGCTTGGGGGTTTCTGTCTGCAAGGAGGCTTATGGGTGTAAGGCTGGTATTTAGGCTGTTAATAAACATGAGGTATTAGTGGGATTTCCATTGCCAGGAGGGGTAACAGTCCACGAAGATGAGTGCTTGTGTGACTGCTTTCTTAAATCATCCCTTTACACAGTGGAAAAAAATTCGTGGAAAACTTGAGTGTAGTTGAATCATAGGCTAACAGGCTGCATGACCTCTTCCCCCAGCCTGTTGGCCAGGTGCTGGTGTGTGGACAGGGGCATACACATGTGTGTTTGCATGAGTCACATTAATAGTAGTATTTGCTGCGGGCAAAGAGAAAAGGGAAGAGTTAATTCCCAGAAGTGAGGATCCGAGTACATTGCCTGCTGCTGGTCTCACCTCTGCCTATCCTGAAAGACTGCATTTAAGTTTCTCCCTGCATTTGGGCCAGGTCATGGTCCATCTCAGGGGAGCTCTTCCAGGGTGTGCCTGAAGTGCTGTTGACTTACGGGATGCTGTGGTGGAAGAGCTAAGAATCACTGCTCCAGGCAGCCTGCGCAAGGCAGGTTTTGCTGTATCACCCTGCAACAGCATCGGCTAGAGACACTGGGGGTGCTAGACCACTGCAGGTAATTCTTGGCTTCTCCTCCTTCTCTCTCTCCCACTTTTCATCTCCCCACTGGTGCCTGCTCACCCCGTGAGGGTGCCCATGTCCCCTCTGCATCGCCTTTACCATAAACTGAAGGAACGTTCTGTCATCATCAGCCAGAAATTCCTCGTAGAAGCCGTAGAGCACCTGCAGAGAAGCAAAGGTGAGCTATCCTCAGTCAGTGCTGCAGCAGCAATTGCCTACTGTACCCTGAGTTGCAGTGGTGATGCTGTGGGCAGGCTACACCTCACTTAGGTGCCCAGGACAGCTCAGCCAGGAGCTGTACATCCAGAGGAGTCCATTGGGCTGCTCAGAGGCTGCCCAGAAGGGCTTGGGTTTTAAATGTGTTTTACTTGTGTTGTGCTGGAACCACTAACTCAGATGTGAAAGTACGGCCTCTGCCCTGCCATCCCCCTGGCCCTTAGTGTATGCATCTAACAGCTAAGGTCACCATCTGCTAAATGACTTGCTCATCTCTGCTCTACTGCCCAGCAAGCCAGTGAGGATGCTCCTTTCCACTGACCTCGTGCATCCTGCTCACTGGTTCTAGTGCAAGGTGGCTTGTGTCTGTAAGTTTTTTCCTTTCCTAATCTTTTTTTTTTCTCAAATACTTCTATTCTAATGAATGCCCAGAGCCCTCACACCAGCCCAGGGGTGCCAATGCCAGCTCTCCCTTCCAGCCTGACCACTGCCAGCACTTCTCTGTACCTTGCAAATCTCCTCCTGGGCTCTGAATATCCAGGGGGAGAATTCTCCAGACATCAGATGGTTCCGCAACTTCCTGAGGGTCCTGGTTTCCAAGGGAAGCTGCTGAATGGTGCCCTCCTCCAGGTAGGTCTTGCATATCTTCTCCCCAGTCAAATGACGCAGGAAGAAACTATTTTCTCTGCTGGGGTCCAGCACCGCAGACAGAAATTCCTCCAGGTCATGCCACAGGTCCAGGAGAAGAGTCTCCATGGGCCGGTCCTGGCATTTCAAGAAATCCCTGAAGGGCCGTCCTGCACAGGTCTCAGCGCTAAGGGCCCAAGGAAGAAGACCCAAGGTCTTCACTGGCTTTTCCAGGGATGGCAGCTGGGCAACGGGTGCAGAGGAACACAGGTTAGAGAGGACTTTCTCTTTAGAGAGGTCTTTCAGGTGATGAACCTGCTCTCCGTTAGGTCTGGGTCGTTCGTGACAGGTTGCTCCTCCTTTGCCTCCAAAGGCAGGGTCTGCAGGGTGCTCTGACTGCTGTGGAATTGATTCCAAAGCATTCTTATCCAGAGTATATTCCTTTGTGCTCCCAGCTGGTCCTGGTTGCCTTTCTGGTTGCACCTGAAAACTGGGCATCTTCATTTCTTGGATGTCTCTTACTTCCCTGACTAGAGCCCAGATCTCCACTTTGGCCTTCTTGCTGCAGTAGGGCCCTGACAAACCCTGCCTCCTTTTAATATGCATCGTGAAGAGATTTTCTGAAAAGCCTGAGGGCTCCTCTGATTTGGCCCATAATAAACGCTCCTGATATTCCTGCAGCAAAGGCCAGCACAATTTCTCTTCCTTCATGCCCATCTTGCAGTGGATGAAGAATTTAGGGAGCCAGTAACTCTGAATTGTAAAAAGGGCCTGTTCCTGCATCTTGCTTAGGATCTCTCTCCTGGTGCTGATGGACTGAATGTGCCTGGCTTTCAGCAGTGGTCCTGAAATAGATACAGGTGATTATGATGGGGAGATGGCTCCATTCAGACCGCTCTCCAGCCAAAGAAAACTGGTGATGGTATCCCGTCTCCATGGGAGCATCCAGGAAAGGTCACCTCTCTGGCAGGGCACTGCTCATCCCCAGCTTCCATGCTTCATACCAGTGATGGTCCTGCAGAGAGTGATGACACTGGAGCCTTCACGCAGGTGAGTGGCTTTCAGCCTGTGGAGCAAGGACAGATAGAGATCCCTCTGCCTTTCATCTGACTCATCCATCCCCAGGAGCCTTTCAGTGGTGAGCCAGAAGTTGGTCAGTTCTTCGCCTATGGATCAGATAAGGGACAGGATTTGGAGGGAGTCCCTGAAAGCTCCACTGATGAGCGAAGCAGCTTGTGTCTTTTAGAAAAAGAAAGAAGGAAAGATTGCCTGGATGGCACAAGGGAACAGTGTAGAGAAGCACCATGGTTATATTTCCGTAGTATACACAGCCCATGCTGGAGCTCTGTTGCTGGCACATCTTCAACAGCTTTACTTGGGTTTGCAGTGTTCCCTGTCCCACTGGTCCTTACCCACTGCCCCCAGCTCTGTGCCTGTGTCCCACTGGGCAGCTTGCCAACAGGTGGGTGACGAGGGGCTGTGGAGCATCCTGTACCCACCTGCCATTCCTCGGATGAAGGCCCGAAAGTGCCACATGGCCTGGCTCCCACTGATGCACTTTTCCAGTAGCCACCAGTCAGCGCTTTGCCAGTTCAGCAGTTTTGCTGTCAGAGACAGTGCAGAGCACAGCATCAGGGGTTGCATGCAAAGAAAGCAGCAGTGTCCAAGAAAGCCCTCCAGGTCTCATCAGCACCCCCCAGAGGGCCTCCCTGACAGAGGCTGCTGTAGGGCAGCAGTGCTGTGAGGGACGATACCAGCAAATCGCACTGAAATGTGAGTTTCAGACAGGTTGTGGGGCACATGTGTGATGTTTGCAAGGGCAACCTGCTTATGTCTTTGATAGTCTGCCCAGCTATCATGCCTCTTCCCCTTGCAAACATCCATCTTTTTTGCTTGAGTTTGGGGCTTGCTCTCAACTTTCTTCAGCTTGATGTTCTACCCAACTGGAGGAGAAGCAGCAATGCACCCAGAAACAGCACAGGAGCAAGCTTCATTGACTTACTTGTTATTTTTTTCAAATGAAAATCTGCATACCTGCTGCCACAGCTTGCTTTCCAGTGGCCTTCTCTTGTGTTGACATGTAAGCTGGCAAAGTAGTTGGCTCATTTTAGGGGTAAACTGAGCACAATCCGACTTGCTACTGGTAAGGCAAACCATGGCATAGGCCTGTTTTCGCAGTGCAGCATGCATCAGACAAGAAGCGTATTGTAACACAGTGTGAGAGCCCTGGGCAGCCCCACAGCAGCAAACCTGAAATGTCAGCACCTCAGTTTCCCATGCCCATGCTCTCCAGCCCTCCTCCACCCATGAACAGCACGGTAAACCCTGCTAAGCAGTTATCTCAGCTCAACTTCACAAAGGAAGGGCGCAGGGTAAAGCCCCATTCATCTTGTGGAAATCCTGGGCCCTGCAATGGCTTTTTAACCCAGAGCAGAGGCAGGACCCGCTGGGCAGGCACCAGGTGGTGACAGCCCCAGTGAGAGGAAGCCCAGCTGTGGTGAAGCCAATCCCATTTTCCTCTGCTGCAATGACTCACCTGCTTCCCCCGACCGAACGAAACCCAGAAGCTTCTGGCAGAGGACGAGGTGGAGGCAAAGGCTGGATTTGCAGAAGTGAGGCAGCCGGTGCTTTTCCAGCCAAGCCAGTAAAGCCGGGGGGCTGGGATTCTGCATTGCAATCCCCACACCCAAGGAGAGGATTAGGCTGTGAGCAAGGAGCTGTCTCTTGCCTGGGGATTACGGTAAGTAAAGGGCTGCTGCTATGGCAGAAGGAGGCAGGGGAAGGTGCCCTGTTGTTAGATGTTGAGTGATGCAAGCCATCCCCCTGCTGAGAAAGAATGGGGATACTCAAGCTATAGTCCCTGCCCTCATCTCCATGAGCTCTGCCTGCAGACCAGGGAGACCTGGGGCTGCGTGCAGCCTGCCTACCTTCCCAGAGCCCAGACAAGAAGGCACGGCAGCTTCCCAGCAGCACCAAGAGGAGCAGGTTCCCTTTTGCTACGGGATCTGAGCACTGCAAATGATGCTTATGGCTGTGGGGAAGTGGGACGTCCATGGAGAGAGCTGAGCCAGTCTGAGCATCAACGGGACTTCACTCCTGATGAATTCAGGAGGGATATAGGGTGCAAAGGGATGATGCTTGTGTTGTCCTCTGCCACCACATATGCTCTCAACTCCAACTATCAGTGTTTATGGAGGGCTTTATAGACCCCATAAGCTGCACCAGGATTTTAAATGGCTTGTGCTTCTCCCAAAGCTTAAAGGCAAACTGATGCCTGCGTCTGAAATAATCCCCCACTGCATGAACAGGAGAGCCAGAGAGTGGCCTTTGTAATGAGAGGACAGCTTTTTCCTTCCCGTGTTCTCTGTCCTTCCTCCTTCTTCCCTCCTCACAAAGAGGCATTTTCTCACCAGATGGCTTGGCAGCTCTGGCCAGAGGTTCCACTGGCCTGTACTGCTGATGTAAATGGGTGTCTGGCCAAAAACCTGCATTGAAAGGAAAGAGGAGATCTGAAAGAGATGGAGGGTGGCATGGGAGCCCATAGCCCAGCTGTTCTAGTTTAGTTCTTACTACAGGGAAGGGCATGACCTTCCCTTTCAGACCTCTATCTCCAAGCTGAGGTGCTTAGGTTTCCCTCATTTTCCAGCCTGAATGTGGTGTATTCACAATTTTCCTGGGGCCTTTACCACCACAGAAGCTGGAAGTTCACATGAGAAGAGCTCAAAAGGGCTTCATGGTGCAGAGTGTACTTACAGGAAGGTTCAGAAATGTGTTGAAAAAGTCGACAAAAACATCATCTCTCAGCAGAAGCCTCATGTCCATGGAGGCGATGGTTGCTACAAGTGGGAGAAGAGAAAGTTACCTGGGCTTTGTATTGCCAAGTGTGATATAAATATGAACCCAAGGATGAGTTTTGACAGGGACAGCTCTAGGGAATGTACAGTATGGGCTTGTCGTGTGCACACAGAGGAGGATTTGGACCTGGGACAGTCCTTGAAAATTGGTTCTTAGTGCATCCATCTGCTCGGGGCGGGGGGGGACAGACGGGGGGACGGACATGGACACAGGGTTTTGGAAAACACTGGGTTCAGCTGCATGCAGGAGCTGAAAAGTTCAAACAGCAGCTTACTGAATAGCAAAGGTTCATGATTCATGGATGGGGACAAATGCAGTAGCATCTGTAGGACAGGAGAAAGGGGTTGCTGCGGTGGGAGGTGACAAACTCTACTCCTCCACTTTACCCAGACACCAGGCATAACTGCCACCATGCAGAGAAACTGTGCTTGGTGCTGCTGTTTCATCCCCACTGCCTTGGTGCCCCGAGTCCTCCTGTTCAGGTTTTTGTAGCAAATCACCCCAAATTAGCAGGCAATCAGGCCGGGACCAGGTTGTGCCTCTGGGTAGAGTGACAACCGCTGCAGACAGCCACCCCCTCCACCCAGGACATCAAGGCAGTGTGTCAGTACCACCCAACACCTCCTGCTATCCTGTGAAGTTTTACTCAAGTCTGAAAGATCTGGGTGCAAAGGAGGGGTGGGCTGGAATCAGCCTACTGATGGGTGGGTGTCCTTGAAAATGTCCACTTAAGTGAAGGCACAGATGTGTCACAGGGAGAACACACACTTGGAAGGCTAACACTGCTTTTTCCCTGCTGTTCCCTTTGGGGCATGCTTAGAGAGGCTGAAGCCTTCAGCAAAGGTAACTCACCAGTGGCCATCATGATGTCATGTCCCAGGGATGCGTTCTAGAATTCCACGCTTACCTAGTGAGTTCTCAGTGTGATTATTGAGGACTCTCAGAGGACTCTCGACGACCACAGAGCTCTCTGCACCTCCCTCTTTGTTGCCCTTCAGGGAAATACTGCTTTTGTAATCTCCAGCACTGCCAATGCACTTAGTCCTGGAATTAAACCCTTCCCCTATCTCCACTTCCTGACTTCAAACCGGGTTCTGGGTAGTACCTCAGCACTGCGTATGGTTACTACCAGGGCATCTGCTCAGGTAGTGATGGAAATTTCACGAGACCCCCCCATGTCTGCCCCAGACAGAGCAACTGCAGATTTCTTATTAGTCATCCTGCTTTATCAGATCTGGGCCTGAGACCCCAATCTTGAAGACCTTCCAGTGGGAAGAAGAGAAAGAAAGAACAAACTGTGTCTCTCTTGAAGCAGCAGTGACCTATTTCCCTGGCCTGAGGAGGAATCTGCTCCCCAGGTGGGTATTTGTAATGCTGTGGCGTCAGGTTTTGGGCACCATCGTGCCTGGCGTCTTTGATGTGCCTTGCAGCAGACAGGTGGGTGTGCTTGTCTGTGGCTTCTGTGCTGTTGGTGGGAATGGGAAGGGGTCTGTGGTCTGTGGAGAGTGTGGAGCAGAGGTTTTGCGGCCTTTCCTATACTGGACATCTCTCTGTACTTGCCTCAGAGGTTGGCTGCAGGACAGATTCTGCCAACCTTTCAGCCCTGAGCTTCCTTGCTCTAGCCATTCACAAAACGCAGCTGCACTATGTTGAGCGTCATGTCCCCTTCCGTCGCCGTGCCTGCAGTCCCTATGACTGTCCCCAGCATGGGCATAAAACACACATAGCAGTGTGCAGCCTCCCTGGCGCACCCGCAGCGTCCCCTGAAGCGAGGACACGTCACCAGGTGGCGCTGTCAAATCAGGAACGTGAGGCTGTCCTCGGCAGCAACACGGCTCTGCAATTCAGACTTGGGACTCCGCAGCCGCAATCACTACAGGGCCAATAATTAATTGCGGGGCTGGCGCTGGGGACCCCAGGGTGTCAGTCTTGGGCTACTGGCACCGACTTGCTCTCTAACCCTGAGTAAGTCAGCTCATTCCTTTGTGCATCACTGCGCTGTTCTGTGCAAAGAGCATAACTGGTGCTATACCAAGCCAGAAGGGACATGACAGACTTGCGAAGGCATGTTAGAGATCATGCCTGAACTGCCTGTGCACACGTGTGACTTGGGGAGGTCATGTTCTGCCACACTGCAAGGCACTGGCTATATTGTATTAGTTCACGTGGTTAAAGCTGTTGGGTTTAGCAGCAGTTAAGTGGTGTGCATGTCCTCAGGGTTCATGTGAGATGCATGTTCTGGTGGTGACAATGAAGGGATGTTCTCCTTTGGGTGATGTTTTGGGTTTGGGAGGTGAGGGTGATGACTGACTTGTGCACTGCTGCAGGATAGCTTGGCAATGCCTGCCCTGCATCAGCTGCTGAGCAGGGACAGCTCTAGGATGGGGCTGAGCACAGCCCCTTGGGGATGCACACTCACCTTCCTTCCGTCACAGCCTGGGGATATGAGCTGGTCACTATGCCATACCCCAAACTAACATGGGGAAGGAGCAGCCATGAGCCTTAAAACATCTGCTTGACCTAGTGGTGCTAGGCAGAAGGAGTTCTGTGAGACCCTGGGGAGGTGTTGCTCTGTTCACAAATTCAAACCTATTTGTGGTGCTAAGTCCGAGAGATGAAAAGAGCATTAGGGATGAGCTGGTGTGGCTGTCACACACACGAAAGACTCAAAAGTCCTCATGAAAAGGTTGTAACTGTCAAAAAAGTACATTTTCCAGTTGGAAACTGAACAGATGTCCATACACAGAGACTGATGCAGCTCTGCTGATGCCTGTTCAGCTCTGAACTGACCTCACTGGGGCTGTTCTGGTTTCTGCTGGGAAAGGACCAAGGTTGTGAGCAGAAACAGGCCAACACGGTTACTCTGGGAGTGTACAGAGCAATTTCCATGGAGACTCTCCCCAAGAGGTCTGGCAGGATGGAGCTCCACTCAGCCTAACCTGCAGGAAAAAAAAAAAGAGGCTTTAAAAATAGGTAGACACACGAGTACAGACCAGGAGAGCTGCTCCCTGTGAAGAGATCTCAGAGAAGAGTGCAGAGTGGCTGGACCCTATTTATATGTAGATAAGGGTAGGGTTGCAACAGCAGACACGTCAGAAGGGCCTCACTCCCCCCGGTCTGAGTCCAAATTACCTGCGTCCTGCATTTACTGTGGGGGTGGTGAGGCACTGGAATGGGTTGCCTAAGGAAGCTGTGAATGCTCCATCCATGGCTGTGTCCAAGGCCAGGTTGGAGAGAGCCTTGGGTGACATGGTTTAGTGTGAGGTGTCCCTGCCCATGGCAGGGGGGTTGGAACTAGATGATCTTAAGGTCCTTTCCAACCCTAACTATTCTATGATTCTATGATCCCCTAGCATGGGGAGCAGCCCACCCCTGGCAGACCTGAGGCTGCCTCTGCCAGGGCAGAGCATCACACTTCTGGGGTGGCAGAGGGGATGGGTCTGGGTTTCTTATCCTTGCCTAACATAAACCAGTATGGCAAAGTCCAAGGCTGACTGATCACAGGGTCAGCCTCACTGCCTGCAGTCACTGGCTGCTTGCAGCCTCCCCAGGGAGGCCAACCTGTCCTTTTTGGGGCGGGAGGGATGGTGGGGCTATTTCCCCCACAGCTCCAGTTGGTACCCACCAACCCATGGCAACCCTGAATACCTCGACACTGCTTTTGGTCTCAGCTGATGGTCTAAAATCCTTGCAAGCTGAAAAGCCCCAGCACAAGGGAGTGGTGCAAGCACCTTGCTGCACAAACCCGCTCTCTGTCTAGCATAGGTATTACATGCTCAAAGTGATCTTTCGGGGAAAGATTGTTTGTTTTGTTTTGTTTCTCTCCATACAGCCTCAGCCTGTCCTCATATAAACAGTTCAGGACACCTCAAAGACTGTTAGCAATGGGTGTATTACCTTTTGGCCCATAGCACGTTAAAATTTAAAGTTTTTAAGCAATTGTCTGAGGTTTCAGGTATCACAGTTCAACTTTAAATATGAATTCCTTTCTTGAACATACTAGAATTATTTTTAATGTATGATTTTCATGCTCAGTCCCCTGGGTGTGTAGACTTGTTTGCTTAGCAAGGACATCTCTGGTATTTCCTTATATTAATTAGAGGCATTTTTGAGCCTATTGCCATCTGTCTGTAGTTTCCTTGCTTGGGGCAGACCATGAAGGCTCGGCTCTGACCTGTTACACCTGACAGCCCCTGCAGCATGCTCTGTGTTTGCCTCCCTCTTCTCCAGCCAAGGCAAAATCACTTGTGTAACCTTACATCAGTGTCCGTGTGTGTTGACTTTACAGGTCCAGGTTAAATATGTGTTGAGGCAGGATGGGGACCTAGTTCAGTCATAAGGAAGGGATATGGACAACAGCACTTTGCAGTTCTGTTTTATAATTTACAATGTTGGGCTTGGATCCTACCACTTAATCCACTTGGGCAGCAATGTGAGGATTTCTGCACTCTCACTTACAGAGCTGTGAAGTATATTAGGATGAAATTATCTGCCAGCCCCAGCTAACATGGCCCTGACCTAGCCGGGAGTGCATTTAGCAGTGTGAACAACACTAATAAAAACAGACAGAAAAACCCAACAAAAACAACCCTGCACACTGTGACTGACTTCCAACTGCAGGGAAAGACATGTGCTGAGTGCTCCCTGGGATATTCTCCACCCTTGTACAGAGCAAACTGAGCCAAGCAATTTCTAGGTCTCAAATCCTGCCTGCCCCGGACGTTCTCATCTTCCAGCTTCCCCGGCTGCTTTTGAAGGCAAGCACGTGCTTCCCGGTGGCAGACCCTGCTCACTGAAGACGCTCAGCCTCTGTACAAGGTCTGCACGTGTGCAGGGCACAGCCAGCAAGAGGTAAGTGCTGCCTGCTAGAGTTGCTGCCAAAACAGCTTGAAGCTGGCAGCCGCAATGCCCCTCCTGTAAAGAGCCCTCCTGGGGGAGGCAAGGGAGGGGGACTGCTGCAGGATGAAGCAATGCCATGGTTTCCTGTGAGGGGTGGCAAAGTGGGCATCCAGCACAGCGACCGTCACCAAGGTGGTTGAGAAAGGGGTCAAGAGGGAGGTGCAAGCAATGGGAGAGGAGGAGGCTGGGCAAGGCTTTCCTGGTTGAGGCCCCGGTTCCCTAAATATGTCATGGGTGCTGAGCTGCACAGGGAGGGAGCTTTTTTTGTTTTCTTTGCATATGCTTCTGCGTGGTTTTATTTATTATTTCTTCAATTGCCCTTCTATGCAGCCCAGGTAACCTGCTCTGCCTCCAAAAGCCCCCCGGGTCACCAGACCTCAGCTGCCCTTGACCCGGGCAGCATCTTCAAAGAGACCATGAGCCTGCTACGGAGTGTGCAATGTTTGTTCTCTTATCGGGCAAGCAGCTACCGCCTCCCCGACTTGGGGGGTTTCGTCAGCCTCCTGAAGCGCTCCAGGGGACACCCATCAGCTGCTGCTGTTTGCACAAGGTCAGTCCCCCCTCACCTTCCTGGTGCATGTTTCCCCAGCCCATGGTGAGCTCCCTGTCCTCAGTGACTGCTGTTCCAGTCTTACCTGGGCAACTTGTAAATGAAGCACCTGCTTGTCTTGATAAGGCACTAGGTTTATTTTTCCAGCCCTTGCTGGTAAAAGGGGCTGCATCTTTAGTATCTCTAGCCCCATGAGCCCACTTCAGAGCTGAGGTCTCAATAGCAGTGGGCACACTGGGATGGGTCCAAGCAGAGGCAACTGTGCTCAGCAGTAAGTAGAGATGGAGGTGGTGCAGCATCAGGACATCCAGCCTATGTCTTTATGCAGGCCCTTGAAGCCCAAAGTGCTTTCCCAGATGTGCCTGAAAATGGTGTATCTGAATTCAGGAATGTCTTAGCTGTTGGGCATGGGGAGAGGAGAGATGCTGAAGATGTCCCTGCTGACCTTTAAAGGTCCCTTCCAACCCAAAATATTCTATGATTCTATGATCCTGTGCTCATCCCTCCTTCCAGCTGTGTCATTGCTGGTAGCAGGCCCATTTTGGGTGCATCACACTTCCTCCTGCTATCTAACCAGTCACAACAAAATGGACCATTCCTCCTTCTTGTGACATCTCTATTTAAAAAAAAAAAAAAAAAAGAAGAAAATTCAGTCATTTCTGTTTGAGATTTTTTTGTTTGTTTGATTTGGTTGTTTGGTCTTTTTTTTGTTAGTGCTGCTGAAAAGCAAATGGGTACCTGGGCTTTGCAGGACAGATCCACAATCTGATCCCAGAGTTGACAAGCTCTTCAGCTGCAGGGTCTGGCCACCCTTTGAGATGGCCCCAGGGTGCTGGGAAAGAGTCCTAGCACTGCAGCAGCAAAACCAGCAGCCACATGCCCCAAGGCCTGAGCCACAGGGAAGTTTAGTATCCTGCCTTTTGACGCTGAATTGCATCCTGTCCTCCTCATGGTGTGACGTTTCTGCATTTTAAGGTATTCCCAAATTTATGAGGCTACACTTTTGGGGTGGTAGGGGCAGGGGGGGTGGGTGCAAGGCAGCCAGGGCTGCCCAGGGCAGCTCGGCGGGAATACGAGGTCAGGGATGGGGGGTGCACATGGACAGGGACAGACATGGACAGCAGCCCCAGCAAGGCACAGCACATGACCCCTTGCTGCTTGGCTCCTGGCTGGGGTTGGAAAAAGAGATGCTGGAGTAGTAATGGACTGGGCACACGTAAGAGCAGGCACATCTCATGCCAACTGTGAGAGACTCAACAGTCCTGGTCCCCAGACCTCTCCTGGAGAGACCAGAGACTTCTGTTCCAGCTGCGTGATGTCCCTTTCGTGTTTGCATTGCTGCCTGGGAGGCAGAAGCCTGGCCAGTCCAGCCCTAACCCACGCACGCAGCTCACCAGGTGCTTTCCAACCCTGGCGATTGTCGCAGGATATAAACCGTGCCGGAGGGAAGTGCCGGGGCAGGCGAATAAAGGTGTTCCCACGAATTAATAGGAGGAAGAAAGAAAAAACGTGAGCCAGCTTGGGCTTGCCCCTGGAGCGGCTCATTGTCTCTGGCCGGCTCGCTGCGTGTTTAGAGCGGGGCCCTTTGAAGGCTGATTTAAGTCCACTGCTGGGAGGTGTCACCTGTTGGCACCGTGCCTTCCACAGCTCCCCGATGAGGTTTTTGTCTCGTTGAACGCTGGCGACAATAAGGGTCACTGGAGCACGCAGCTGGCAGAAGGCACAGGCTGAGCCGTGTTTCCCAAAAAAACCCCGACAGCCCGGAGAGGAGGTGGGGACGGCAGGCGGTAAACAAGCTGCCGGGAGCCCTGCGAGCCGGGAACGGTACGTTTCTTCCCCGCCGGCCTCCCGGGAGAGGGCGCTGGCCCCGCGGCGGCGGCGCCCGGCTTTTCTCCGCCGGCTGGTAAACACGTACAGGGAGAGGGCAGGGGCCTGCCACCAAACCTCCCCCGGGGCAGGGAGCGACATGCTCCCACCCAAACCAGGAAAGTCTTGCGCACGGTGCGGGGCCCTCCCAGGCAGTGGCTTGATGGCCGGAATGTATTTATCGGATGGAGAGGAGATGTTTACATTGCAAAGCTGTCTCTGCCTCTTTGCTTCTCCTCGGGGTGTTTCAGAGCTCAGCAAGTGAAAAGAGAAGCTGCCCAGCCCTAAGGCTCAGAGGGTCACCCTGCACTGCAGGGATTTCCACCTGGGAACGCCCTGGGCTTGTTAACTGGTGCCAAAGTTTCTGGGAAATTTGCAGCTACCAAGTACATTTCTAAGAATCTGGAGCTATTGGAACTGTCAGTGTACTGATTAAACAAACTCTCTCAGCAAACCTGGGGAAAAGCGCTGGGAACAGCTTTACACTGTGGCTTGACAGCCCCCTTTTATGGGAGCTATTTTGGATCTCTCCTGGCCTGACTGGGTCTCAGCACCAGTTCCTCTCTCCTTTTGCATCAGCTGAGCTGCTGAATTCAGGTAACCACATTCAGGTAACCTGGCCTGAAAGTAAGATCCCGAGCTAATTTCTATGGGTAAAACATAGCATTTGTTTCTGTATTGACATCTTCATACATAGGAGGTTCTGGGGGCAGGCAGTTTCTGTCATGCTTGGTAGCACTGCCTTGCCCAGTCAATGCAGGGAGGTGAAAAGCACTTTATCTGGGTTCTGGACAGCCTCGGGGGATTAACACATGCTGCTGCTGATCCAAGGTGCTGTTAAAGAATAAGAGGGGTTGTCCCCAGAGGGAGGGTGCAGACCTGGTTCTTGAGATGGGCAATAAATCAAGGTGAAGCTTTAGCCAGCACTTCCACCTCCTCCTGGCTGAGGATCCAGTGCTACCTGTCCACTTTTCTCCCAGACCCTGGCTGTTGAGAGGCTGTGTCTTCAGTAAGGTGATTCTGACAGGAGGGTCCAGCTCCGGGGACAGCAGTTTGAGTGCCAACCCCCGAGGCACTGGGCATGGGGCTGGCATGGGGCAGCCCAGCATCCTGTCACCCCGAGGCAGGTGTGTGGGTGGTACTTGGCCTGATACCTGTGTGTGCATGCAGGTATGTGCCCATGGGTGACAGCTCATTCTGCTAGTGTTGGCATTGCTCTTCCCCCACCGATTGGGCCAGGGTTGGGAGGTGCAAAGAGCTGAACAGGAGCGGGGTGGGACAGCAAGAGCAAGCTGCTGGGGTGGAAAAATACTGGGCAGTGCCTGCAGTTTGCAGGATGGCCCCTGCCACCTGGGTGCCTCTGTAGTGGGTGCTCCTGCACCCGCGGTGGGGCTTGCAGATTTCTTCTCCCTTGTGTGACAGGGACCAATCCTGTTTCCTGGAGCGAGGGTCTTAGCTCGGATCCAGAGGATTCAGGTGCCGGAGCCTGTTACTTACTCCAAGGGGCAAGGGGCGATTGCGCGGGCACTGCCTGTTCCCCCACCCCCAAAAATTATGCACCAAGCCTGGGCCAGGGTTTAGAGGGGGCTCCAGTTCCTCCCCCTCTTTCTTCCCCGCTGCCCTGTTTACCGTCGGCGGCTGATTTCCATCCCTAAGAGTTATGCAAAGGCAGCTGCTAATGTAAACCCCGCGGAAAGCCCTGGACCTACTCCCGCTTTCTCAAAACTCTGTGAGGGGTTATTTTTCGGGCCGAGAGGATTGCAGAGGACCCAACGCTCCACCCTCCTCCTCCTCCTCTCCCCGTGCGGGGCGAAGCGAGAGGCTCCCCCATTCTCCCGGGGACGAGGGGGCATGGCTCGGCCCCGCCGCCGCCGCAGGAGGAGGAGGAGAGGGGCGGGGTGGAGGCCCCTCGTCCACCCGGCCAGGCCGCCGCCGCCGCTGCCCAATCAGTGCGGCGGGGCCGGCGCTGTGGCGCCATAAAGCGGCGGCGGGTGCGGCCCTGTGAGCTGAGCGTGGGGGAGTCGCGCCCGCTGCCGTGGAGCGCAGGTAACGGCTCCGCGGGGTGGGAGGGGGCCGCCCGACCGACCGCGCCTTCCCTGCTATAGCCCCTCGGGGGGGGGGGGTAGCGCCGCTTTGTGCCGCGCTGCCGGCGGGCAGAGCTGTGAGGGGAATGCTCCTGTTTGTGTGTGTGTGTGTGTGTGTGTGTGTGTGTGTGTGTGGGAAGAGGCAGCTCGAGTTTTCTCTTGAGAACAGATGCTTTTCGCAGGTTTCTGTTTTCACGAGGGTACTGAGCTGCTTGCGTAAATTGCCTCCCTGTCGGGGAACGAACGTGTGGGTGACGCTGCTCGCAGGGGAGTAGGGCTTGTGGGGACCGTCCCCGGGCGGGCAGCGAGCGCCACCGTAGCAGGGTGGGCTGGCCCGGGCAGCCGAGCCTCCCTGCAGAGATGTGCCTACGTATTGGAGTGACTTTTCAAGTCATTTCACATTTACAAGTCGATGGCATTTCTAAGCTCTTGCAGACACTGCTGCTTTGGTCCTGACACGCATGAGCTGGCTGTCCCCGGGATCCCCGCTCCAGGCTGTGCCGGACTTCCAGAGATGCAGCAGTTCTCGATGTGTGGGATCAGAGCCCCTTCAGTCTCCTTCCCCATCGCTGCCTGGAGGCTGCTGCCGGGGTTGTTCAGAGGTTGCTTGCGCTGCCTGTTGCTTGTATTTGCGCTTCCTCCTTTTTTCTAGACGAGGCTTGTTTAACTTTAGGCCAGCTGATCTGAGCAAGCAGCTGGGGCTGGCAGGTCCTCCTCGCCGAATGTTAAGAAAGCTCCAGCTAAGCTTTCCTATTCAGTAGCCTGGCTTTGGAGCCTGATGAGTGTGGAGGTGAAAAGTTCACACAGGGCTGAGGAGCGCTTTTGAAGGCTGTGAACTTGGTGGATAAGTGATACTAGTTTATTTTAGTTATAAGAGTTTGAGTATTAATGGTACTCTGAAGGCATCACTTATGGAGCAGGGCTCTCCTAGCTGCTTGCATCTCTCTGGGCTGCTGTTTTCTGTCTGCAGAATGGCATGGAACTGCTGGATATGGCAGTGAGCCCTGTGGCCAAGCTGTCTCGTGATCCTCCCTGGCTGGAGGATCAAAAGTCTGGGAGGATAGGGAAGGGCTCACCTTTGGGGTTGTGTTTTGTATCATCCCTGCAGGAACCCCCTCATCCAGACCACAACCATGGCCACCTCGGCAAGCTCCCAACTCAGCAAAGCCATTAAGCATATGTACATGAAGCTGCCGCAGGGAGAGAAGGTCCAAGCCATGTACATCTGGATTGATGGGACAGGGGAGCACCTCCGCTGCAAAACCCGCACGCTGGACCATGAGCCCAAGAGCCTTGAAGGTGAGAGGGCAGGTGCAGGATTCAGTCTCTTGCTGCATGGAGAAAGCAGCTGTGCTTGGCTGTTCCAGAGAAGGGTTGCCATTTTTCTCTTCATGGTGGAAGAATGGTACTTGAAGAAAACATTGCTCCTCACCCCCATCCAGTTACCTCTTTCCCCAGATCGCCCAAGGGAATGTTCCCAGCCCTCCAGATGTGGCATTTCAGTGAGATGCCTGGGACTGGGAGCCAGCCCCTGGCACTGTCCTGCTGTGGAGGGGGCTGTTGGCAGGGACTCGGCGGCTCATTGACTCTTGAGTACTCGTTTTGGCCGGAAGTAGTTTGGCAGAAGAAAGTGGAGGGGAAAGAATGGAGCTATCCGGTGTAATTAAGAGCCTGTGTCCCTCAGAACAAACAGTCCCAGCTTACACAATAATAGCATTAGGATTTTCCCCAGGTTGCCATGGTGCTGGCAGGAGATGGTTATGAAATGAAAATGCTGTGTGTGACTGAGCAGAACTATCTTTTTTCTTTTTTTTTCCTTCTTTTTTTTCCCTTTCTCTTCTCTCCCCTTCCCCCTCTAAGGGAGTGGTTGGCACAGCTCCTTTGAAATCTTTGTGTTTCCCATCCTCCCACTTTCCCCCTAGGGTATGGAGGAGATAACATTGCCTAGTGGAGTTCACTGCCCCTGCTGTGCTTTGACCTGGAGGGCAGTGCCCAGCCTGGATGGATGGCTGAAGAGGCAAAGCTGGCCATAGTTCTGCTTCATATGAGATTCCACCTACATGTGATTTGCTGTCCCACCTTCTGCAGACCATGCAGCATGAATACGGGATATTTAATGGCTCCTCTCCTTCATACAGCTTGAACATGTCTTATGCTCTGACCTTTTCCAGCTTGCCCAGCTACCTCTGTGAGGAGACTGGGTATTCTGCTCATCCTCATGGTTATTGTGACATGGGAAACATTCTCAGCGCTGCTCGGTTTGCTTGAGTTTGGCCAGCAGCCCAGCTCATCGTGTTTTCCTGGGTGGCTGGGAAGTTGCACTCCCTTGTTTTTCTCTTGTTTTGGTGTTCCGTGTTTTTGTGAGTTGATTGTTGGTTTGTTTTGCTTCCCCCCTTTGGAACTAAAATAGCTGAGCTGGGATTAAACCTATCACAGGCCTGTTCCCTATAAACATCTTCACCCTTGTACTACTGAAGGACAGCAGGGGGACCATCCTCTTGGTGCCTGGGGAGCTTAGGTCACTGTGGCTTCTTCTCTGCTCCAGATCTCCCTGAGTGGAATTTTGATGGCTCCAGCACCTTCCAGGCTGAAGGCTCCAACAGTGACATGTACCTGCGACCTGCTGCCATGTTTCGGGACCCTTTTCGCAAGGATCCAAATAAACTAGTTCTCTGTGAGGTCTTCAAGTACAACCGTCAGTCTGCAGGTGAATGGACCTTTTTCTGCTGGAGGTGGTGTTTCTGGGAAGGGGAGAGGGAGACATGTCCAAATGTTGATCATGTCCTTAGTGTTATGCATGACACAGTAATAATCCCTGCCCTGGAGGTAAAAGGCAAATGAAGTGATGGTGGTGGAGAAAGGGCTGGCCATGGGATTCTTCACTGATATTGCTGGGAGTCAGACTGCGAACATTGTGGAAATGGGGATTGGAGGTGAAAAATGCTAATAAGTCTTATGTTGCTTTTTCATTCTAGAGTCAAATCTCCGACACACCTGCAGACGAATTATGGATATGGTATCCAACCAGCATCCCTGGTTTGGGATGGAGCAAGAGTACACTCTTCTGGGGACAGATGGACATCCATTTGGATGGCCTTCCAATGGCTTCCCTGGACCCCAAGGTAATCTTCATGGAGTCTGCGCTGGATCAACTCAGGAGTGCTTGAATTCTAATCAGTACAACACGGCTTAAGTGGTTCAGGCAAACTGAAAGATTTGTAGGGGTTTCCTGAGCTGAAGATGGACAATAGCAAGCAGGATATTAGCAAAAACTAACCCATGAGATTAAGATTGTTACGGAAAAGCTAAGATGGTGACTGTCCACAACCATATTTGCTGCTTGGTTTGGTAGTCTGCAGGTGACTTAAACTCATGTCCAGCACTACAGAGCACAAGCCCAGACTCTCAGAGGGACTCGCTCTCATCAGTGCTCTGCTTTGTTAGTGCTTCCATGAAAAACAGATTTTGGGACTTTTCTACGCATCTGAAGCATTTGGAGAGTTCTTCTCTCTGTCCTCAGTCTTCACTGAATTTAAGCCTTTTTCTTTCTAGAAACTCACATTCCCCTTGCTGTTCACCTGTGCTGTTGCAGGTCCATACTACTGTGGTGTAGGGGCAGATAAAGCCTATGGCAGAGACATTGTGGAAGCCCACTACCGAGCGTGCCTTTATGCTGGTGTGAAAATTGGAGGAACCAATGCAGAAGTGATGCCAGCCCAGGTAAATTGTTTCAGATGCCTCAAATAATGAACTAGTACAGAAAAAAATCCAGGCAGCAGATTGCTGCGTGCTCTGATTTGTTTTGTTCTATCAATGATCGGAGCATAAGGGGATGGGAAATGCCTCACAGCAAGTGGCTGCACCACTAAGTCTGTGACTCCTCCTCCTTGTAGTGGGAGTTCCAGGTGGGACCATGTGAAGGGATTGAGATGGGGGA